CCCCAGGCCCGCCGGGAAAAGACACGACAGGAGTCCCAGGATTAGTACCCACCCCAACTCCGGCACCCCCAGAGGCAACCAACTGATGCGGTGACTGCTGCGGCGGCGGCGATCGCAACGACGGCTGCGGCGACGGTGGCGGCGGTGACGACGGCTGTGACAGCGGTGGCGACTGCGGCTGCGGAGGCAGCGGAGGAGGGGGAGGAGAAGGGGCAGGCGGCGAGGACTGCGCCGCAGGACTACCAGAGTCAGTAGACTCCTCAACCGGTACAACCGACGTAAGTGGGGTGACGTGGGACACACCAGAGGGGGCAGGACGGGGAGGGGGAGGAGGAGGGGCGGCGACGACTGGGGAAGGGGTGACCAGGAATAAGGGGGGGGGTAACCGGGGGACCTCGGTGAGGGAAGCGGCGGAAGAAGGAGACTGACTCGTCAAAGGTGACGTCACGGGAATGAAAGAACCAGTGAGACAGCGGGTGGTAGAAGTGCCAGTCAGACGCGTCAAGGGGGAAGCTGAGGAAGACACAGGGAAGGGTGCGGGCAGTGAGCTTGTCCGTGCCAGAGGCACGAACGTGAGCAAGACAGCCCCAGAAGTGGAACGCAGACGCGTCACCAGGTGACCCAGACCAAAGGAGGGTCGGCGAAACCTGAGGCTGCAGGGGGTGCGGCCACCGGTTAAGCTGGTGAGCGGCGTAGTGAACAGCGAACGGCCACTGAAAATGGGGTGCACAGGCATGGATCATGGAGGTACGAGCCACCTCCATGACCAAACCGATGCGTCGCTCAGCGACCCCATTCTGCTGCGGGGAGTCCGGCAAGGTGAACGACTGGGTGATGCCCTCCGCACGACAGAAACGACCAAGGACACCAGAGGCAAACTCGCCACCACGGTCAGAGTGGAGGCGCAAGACAGGGAGACCGCGACGGACACGCACAGCGACAAGCCACGGGATAAGAACGTCAGGCACGTCGGCCTTCCGCTCCAGGGGGAACACAGTGGTGTAGCGCGTGTAGTCGTCGACAAGCACTAGGAAGTAGCGCACTCGACGCGACCCATGGACGGGGGCGGGGCCCCAGACGTCCATGTGCAGAGTCTGTAGCGGTGCGGCGGTAGGGGGAAACGAGGAGGAGTGAGGAGCATGACGAAGCCGGCCCTCGACACAAGGCGTGCAAGGTGGGGCAAGGGAGGAGGGAAACTAAGAGAACGACCCAGGGAGGCCTAGGACGAGACTGTACTGTGACATGTGACGCAGACGCGGGAGTGCAGGGTGACCTAGACGGTGGTGCCACAGGAGAGTCGGGTGGGTGAGTGACCGACAGGAGCAGGCAGCAGCAACCTGGGTAGACGCAGCCACCTGAGGGGGGGTCCCAGCCGGGGGGTTCACAGTGTCAAGTGTGAACAGTCCGGACACCGGGTCCCGGGGGAACGTGGTAAGGGGGGCACTAGTGGCGGCCTCGGTACAGACAGCGTACCGCGCGTGACCAGGGAACGTAGTGGTGACGCCAAGGTCCTGGAGGCAGCCGACACCAACTAGGTTCCTGGAGAACGAGAGGATGTGCAGGCCTGTAAGAGAGCCCGAAGGAACCACCAGGCAGGGGAGGGTGGTGGAACTGCGGGCGACTACAGGGTCAGAGGAGGGGTTAGCCAGGGAGACGGCGGCAGGGACAGGAAGCGGTGTCAACGTGGTGGAGTCGCGGAAGAAGCACCGGGAAGTGCCAGAGTCGAGGGTGAAGGAGAGCGCGGCAGTGGCGGCCGGAGGCGAAGTAGCGACGGAAACACCAAGGCTAAACAAAGCAGGGGATCCTATGCCTGACGCGGCAGGGGAGTCTAACAAAGGCACACCTATACTAGGCAACATGGGGTAAGAAGACGGAAGCACACTAGAGTCATTAGCATACATCACATGTAGAGCAGCAACAATCTCATCCATGTCCAGATAAAAAATCTGAACCCTACGACTAAGCAAGCTGTGCCAGTCTGGGAGCTCGGGCAACTTGGCCGAAACGCTGACAAAACAGGTCGTCCAGGCGACGGAAACAGCGGACGGAGGTATGACCGATCTTACCGCAAACGAAGTCACGTCGAGGACCGGTCTGAAGCAGGTACTGACAGCGCGCGGCACCCGAACCACCACTCGGCAGCCCACCACGCGCACCACCACCACGTCCAGCGCTACCACCAGCGCCGGGCCACCCAGGCGGAAGACGACTCGTCTGCCTCTGCTGCTGCTGCGGCTGCGGCGACGGCTGCAGCTGCGGTGGCTGCGGCAACACCGGCGACTGCTGAGACTGCTGCTCGGCTGCACCTGTCAGGGTCCCTGCGTCAGCACCACCACTAGGTGACCCAACTCCAGCACCACCTACACCCGCACCCCCACCCCCGTCGCCACGTCCAGCCTTGGGGTGGCGACCCTTCCCCGGACGAACCTGTGCGGCAGCGGCAGTCTCAGCCACAGCAGCAGAACCGTCGGAGAAGGTGCACTGAGCAGGGCACAACCCTGAAAGATAGGGACCGGCACAGTACCGCTGGTCTGAGCGATAGAGCGGTGGCGGGCCTCTATAGCGGACAGGGTGTCAACAAAGTCAGTGAGGGTAAGGTCTGCTGGGTGGACGCTAAGAAAGCGGTCACGAGCAGTGGCAAGACGGTCAGGAAGGCGGGTGGCTAGCAGGTAGAGAGTAGAGGTGAGGGGCGGCTGGTGGGCTAGAAGCTGTGTGGGGGTGCAGGCAGCACGCCAGGTCTCGTCTATGGTGCGCAGGTAAGCGGCCAGGACGGCGACATTGGGGAACGACGCAAGGTCAGGAAAGAGCATGGGGAGGATCAGACGACCAACCGAGGCAGCAGGCGGGGTGGAATAGCGCTGGACAACAGCATCTAGGAAAGCCTGGGCAGTGGTGATAGACCTGAAGCGAGGTCGCTCGGACGGGGGGAGGGCATTGCTAATAGCAAGCTGTGCAAGAGCGTCACGGGAGAGCCAGACAGAGCGAGCAAGGGCAGCGGCTGCAGCGGACTCATGCTCAGCGGACGAGGGGTCAGGAGACAGGTCAGCGGGGGGGTCAGGGCACGGGAGGGGTACCATCAAGATGGACAGACAGCGAGTGGCCATCCTGCCGCTGACCAATGAGATGGTGACGGAGGTCAGCAAGCCACGCATCAAACTCAATCGGCTGGCCCTCAGCGTCAAAGCAAAGCACCGCCGCCATGAGTGACAATAGAGGGCAGTGTAGAGTAGGACAGTGCGGTGCAGTGCTGTGCAGTGCGGTGTAGTGCGGTGCAGTGCAGTGCGGTACAGTGCGGTATAGTGCGGTACAGTGCAATGCAGTGCGGTACAAAGCGGTGCAGTGCGGTACAGTGCGGTGCAGTGCGGTACAAAGCGGTGCAGTGCGGTGCAAAGCAATGCAGTACGGTACCGGGGGGGGTTCGGAGGGCGGTGCTGATCGGGAAGAACGGGCCGAACCCGAGGCAGCGGCGGGCCGGCGACGGCGCAAATGCAGGGGCCGGCCGGCGGGCGGCAAGTAGACACGGCCGCGATGGCGGCCAGGGACAGCCGCAACGGCGGCCAGGGACAGCCGCGACGACAGCCAGGGGCAGCCACGACGGCGGCCAGGGACAGCCGCGACGGCGGCGAGGGGCGGCCGCGACGGCAGGAGCGACCGTGAGGCGGCTGGAGACGGCAGCGGCGGCGGCTAGGGGCAGCCACGACGGCGAGGGGCGGCCGGGACGACTAGGAGCGGCCGAGGGACGGCAGGAAGCGGCCGCGACGGCGGTTAGAAGCAGCCGCGACGGCTAGGGGCGGGCTCAAACGGCCAGTGGGCCTGCGAGGAGCGGGCGCGAAACGGCCAGGGCGCCGGCTAGGAGGGGCTCAACGGCCAGGGGGGCGGCTAGGGACGGGCGCGAACGGCCAGGGGGCCGGCTAGGGACGGGCGCGAACGGCTAGGGAGCCAGCTAGGGGCATGCGCGACGGTCAGGGGGGGCCGGCTAGGAGCGATCGCGACGGCCAGGGGGCCGGCTAGGGGCGAGCGCGACGGTCAGGAGCCGGCTAGGAGCGATCGCGACGGCCAGGGGGCCGGCTAGGGGCGAGCGCGACAGTCAGGGGCCGGCTAGGAGCAATCGCGACGGGCAGGGGGCCGGCTAGGAGCGGGTGCGATGACCAGGGGGCCAGCTAGAGACGGGCGCGACGGCTAGGGGGCCGGCAAAGGGCGAGCGCGACAGCCAGGGGGCCGGCTAGGGACGAGCGCGACGGCCAGGGGCCGGCTAGGGACAGGCGCGAACGACCAGGGGGGCGGCTAGGAACGAGCGCGAACGGCCAGGGGGCCGGCTAGGGATGGGCGCGAACGGCCAGGGGGGCGGCTAGGGACGGGCGCGAACGGCCAGGGGGCTGGCTAGGGACGAGCGCGACGGCCAGGGGGGCGGCTAGGAACGTAGGGGCGGAAGCGTGAGCGGGCTAGGGGGGGATCTTACCTACTATGATACCATATCAGAAAGAAAATGATTGAACTAGAATGTGTGTGTACAAGGATATATAGACTAGGGTGTTGTACCCTCTAAGGCACAATCCAGTATAGTCTACAGTAACAGCCTAAGTTACATTTGACATAGAAAGCCTAGGGTGATCCTAGACGTAGGATCGGAAGGTTCGGGAAAAGTGTCGAAGGGCCTCGATGTGTCGTAGCGAGGTGCGGAAAGGCCCAGGAGGCTCGAACTGAAAGGTCTGGAACCCTATCGCTGGTTCGGGACTGTTCGAGTCGTACGCCCTGTAGTAAGCATCAGTAAGGAATTACTCATTCCTTACATAATGGTTCGGAATTTGTGTAACTTAACCGATGTCCCGCGCCCTTACATCTGGATCTCTACGAATCTCCCGGGATGGGATGGGAAGGAATGACACGGCAGAGTTACCATTTATGCGACGGTTTACTCTAAAGAGTTACCATTTATAATACGACAGAGTTACCATTTATGTGTGGGTGCTGAGATTCGCACCCACAGTCGAAACTCAAAATGTAGAGAAATGGAGAACGAACACCACAGTCGAAGCTTGACGAAGGAACAGAAACAGACGAAGGAAAAGGCACCGACAGAATTTGCAGGATTCGAGGGATTTGAGGGCAACATATTCACACTGAGGCTCACTCCGAGACTGTCTGTCAGAACCGAACAGTAACCTTAGGCCGCGGCTCGCAGGGCAAGTCTGGTTTGCAGCATGAAGACACAACCAGCCCCTCCCGCTTCCCCCACAGCTGGCGAATGCAGCCATGGCGGATTCTTCCCTTTCCTCCTCCCACCAGCTGTGACTTGGTCCTTCGCTCGTGCGGATGCAGGCAAAGGCACAAACCATGCGCGCTGCCGTGCGAGCTCCGACTCTCCGCGTTCCGATCGGAGCTCTGCTGTGCGAGCGAGTCCATGTCTCCATGTCTCCGCGTCGGACTCCAGAAGAAATTCCCACGCGGAGAATCCCAACACTCGTGTGAAATTCGCAAAATTCGTGACAAGGTGGGTGCGAGCGAGCCTGCGAGGAGCTTCATTTCTCATATCCCTCGTTACGAGAGGTGAAAATCCCAGAAATCGCGGCAAGGGGGGTTCACTTCGTACGTCAGTATACGAGCCTATGGCTCCTCACACAGTTTCCGATGCTGCTGCCACTCAGCAGCAGCATTGATAACGATCCTGCCTGAAGTCTGCCTGTGTGTCTCACTGGCTACCCGCCTGTGAGCCTCGCTGGCTGCTCGCCTGCATGTTTCCCCCGCCTTCACATAGCCTGTGTGCCACACAGTCTGAACACAACGCCGCGGCAAGCAGATCGGCGCTCCTCCATTACGGAGTGTCGCTCTCCGCTGCGACTCTGCGACACTGTGGAACGCGCAATGCTCAGATCGTCGTCGCGTTCGCCTCCCCTTACATCAAGCAGGCTGCTTGTAGTACATCAAAGCAGCCATGGTCTCGTCCTCTCAGTCCAATTCCGACGCTCATCTCTATTACCTCCACGCGAAATTGACGTTAGAAGCACTAGTACTGCCAGTCGAATCCTCAGCAACTGCTAAATCTCGTTCCCGTTTCTCGGAATCAAGTTCAGTGCTTGCTTGCGGCGGCACGAAGCGGCGCGAAGAGGTGCTCGCGAACGCTCGCGATCACTCGCGAATTCGCACTCGCGGCTCTGACGAAGTTCTTCATGGCGCAGTCGGCCTTCGCACGCCAGCCTTCTTCGCCGCTCGTCATGGAGCCAATCGCCTTCGCAACAACTCCTGCCACTGGCAGTGCCTTCGACGCTTCGGAAGCGGCAACCCCCGGCGGCGACGCATCTCCGAGAGGCGAAAACAGGAGCGCAAGCACATCCCCCATCATCGGGAGAAGTAGGTGGGGAATTAATTCTTCCACTGGGGGAAGTATTACAACTCCCGCTCGCTCTGACTTCGGCTCTTCGGATGTGGCCCAGTCCGCCCCTGCCGCGCGGCGCCCGCATCACCGCAGATCCCAGAGCATGTCATGCGAGGTGACTTCACTCTGGAGCAGCAGCGGCCCGTGGTCTGCGAAGGCCGGAGGCATCCGCGGCTCGGAGCTTACTATTAGTATCACTGAAAGTGATGCTAGCCACGGGATCACGGCTAGTAGATCCCTGGAGTATCTGCAGTCGCCTTCGCCGCGCGGGAGCTATTCTGTTTCGCAAACCGCCGCGATTGCCGGCCACCACAGCAAGTACTGGTCTAGCCCGGCGAAATCGCCGGTTGCGCAGCTGACGCCGGTGAAGGGACACAGGAGGTATCACTCGATCAGCGAGATCGACGGGTCCCTATTCGAAGACTTCGCTGCTAACGACTGGGAGGAGTTAGGTGCTCACGCTGAGCTGAAACCCTAAGCTGGAACAATGGACGCGGTAAGCCGCAGACCCAGAAGTTGCGCTGTAGATTACTTCGCTGCTGGGGTTTTAGCAGGTTAATGTGTGATTTATGGTTGTTGCCTTTGTTAGCAAGTTGTGGCTTGTATTGAACTTCGGGTTTCTGTGTAATGCGGACTTCCGTTAAAACAGGCGCCGCATATACTGTCACCTCGCTTTGAATAACACCCCTAGGTCAGATTCGGCCAATATAAGCATACCGAAGACGTGCACATGAATTCCTCATGGAATTCATACTAATCTTACACTACAACAAACACAGCCTGGACAAACTCGTATAAGTTGCATCGTTCCTTGTAGAGTGAGTACATTGTACAACCAGTCATGCTTGAATGAAACGTACAGAAACAGCAGCCAGTAGTGTTGGCCACTGCCAATTCTCCCTAATACCACACAAGGCTTGTAGAAGACACCAACCCAAGCATGAGGCAGAGCACACATCCTTGCCAACTTCCCAACCCAGCATCCAGACACCTCCTTCCCACCTCAAAAGATCTCCCTCTCCAATTCCCCAACAACCCTTCTCTGTCTCATGCCCTCTACAGTAAGGGGCTTCCTCCAGATGCTCTTCCCCACTCCATCCACATTATCCAGCAGCTTCGCAAATTGTTTCGGCAGCCGGGCAGCTAAAAATTTGTCCACGTCAAATTCTTCCACCTCATCCCCGTACTCGTCCAGGAGAGGCGCAGAACCCCCCTCTGCCTCACCCCCCACAGCACCACCACTGTTGGCACCCTTGCTGCTGTTACTGCTACCACTGTTATCACCGTTACTGCTGCTGTTGAGGGCCTCGGTAGTGGTGGTGGCACTGCTGCTGCTGCTGCTGCTGCTGCTGCTGCTGCTGCTGCTGCTGCTGCTGCTGCTACTGGAGTTGTCAGCGTAAGGCGGGGAGAATGGCATGGGCCGCGTGGGGCTGAAGAGGGCTTTCATGCGGTCGATGGCCGGCCCTATGATGCCCCCCAGGTCCCATGAGGTCGACTCCACCACTTCAGTGCGCTGTTGGGTGAGACAAGGACAGGGAAAGAGGAGAGCGAGGGGAATTGAGGGCCCGTGTGGGGCTGAAGTGAGCCTTTATGCAGACGATAGTTGGCCCTCACACCCAGACTCACCTGCTGCTGCTGCTGCATTGCCCTGCCTCTCCTACATGAAGGTCCATGAGGCCTCTGAATCAGCTGTATGAGACACTAGAGTCAAATCCCCTGCCTGCATCCCCCACATCACCTGACGCTGACCCCTCCTCACCTCCTGCAGGCGCAGCAGCCAGAGCTCCTCTGCCCTGACCGTGTTGCCCATGGCAGCCCATGAGACCTCAGCCCATGAGACCTCTGAGTCAACCCATACTGCCCTCTGAATAAACAATGCGTGACTCCTGAGATACGTTCAAAACCCTCACCTGCTGCAGGCGCAGCAGACGCAGCTCTTCTGCCCTGACGGCGTTGCCCTGCCTTTCCTCCATGGCCGCCCATGACCGCCACACCACAGAGTTGCCTGAGTCTGCTGCCAGTGCCCTCTTGAACAGCGCCCGCGCCAGCCCTATGTTGCCCTCTCGTTCTTCCAGCACCGCCCATGCCTAAGAGAGGTGGGGGAGTAGGAGGAGGGGTGAAATGTAATGCAAGTGATATGCAACCCATAGCCTGCTGCCAGTGCCCTCTTGAACAGCGCTCGCGCCAGCCCTCTGTTGTTCTCCCGTTCTTCCAGCACCGCCCATGCCTGAAAGGGAAGAGGGAGCGGGAGAGAAAGAATCTAATCGGATTGAAAGATCAACCCACAGCCTGCTGCCAGTGCCCGCTTGAACAGCGCCCATGCCAGGCTTAACAGCAACAATCTTGCAACAACCTATGGTGCATATGTGAAAGACTCTGGCACCCTTTGGCTTGGTTGACTCATGCGGCTCACCTGGAACACTCTGGCCGCGTTGGGCGACGAGTCGTTGGCCTCAACGGCCCTCTGGTAGAGCTCCCTGGCTCGCTGCACCCGGCCCTCCTTCCACTCCATCCACCCCCACGCCTGCAAGGCGAGAGTGGAGGAGAGTGAGAAGAGCGAGGAGACAGAGGGATGGGAGGTGAGTGGAGAGAGACGAGGGATGCTTGGTAGACATGCATCATTGGCCTCCACTCCACTGCCTTCTGGTAGAGCTCCCTGGCTCGCTGCACCCGGCCTTCCTTCCCCTCCATCCACCTCCACGCCTGGTATGTGGGAAGGGTGATGGGGGTTTTGGAATGGCGAATGTCGATGATTGGAAGGAGAGTAAGAGAGGGAGAAAAGAGAGGAATGGGAGGAGAGAGGGAGGGGAGGAGAGGGAGGATCAACATAGTTGTTGGTTTCAACAGCACACTTATAGCTTGGAAGACTCACCGTCCACACTGGCTGGTGGTTGGGGTCAACAAGAGACGCCTGGCTGAACAGCTCTCTGGCCGTCCCTGTGGAGCCGCATTCATACTCCAGCAGAGCCAGCACTTGCAGCAGAGCGGCGTCCCTGGGGTTGAGGTGCGCACGCCTAACTCCTATCTACTACAGTCCACTCACCGTCCACACTGGCTGGTGGTTGGGATCCACGATCAACGCCTGGCTGAACAGCTCCCTCGTTTTCCCTGTGAAGCCGCACTCATACTCCAGCCGAGCCAGCGCCTGCAGCAGCGCAGCGTCTTTAGGATCTCAAGCACTGGCACACCTGGCCTGACTACCTAACTCACTCCACTCACCGTCCACACAGGCTGGTGGTTGGGGTCGACAAGAGACGCCTGGCTGAACAGCTCCCTGGCCGTTCCTGTGAAGCCGCACTCATACTCCAGCAGAGCCAGCGCCTGCAGCAGCGCAGCGTCTTTAGGGTTGAGCTGCGCCCCTCTCTGCAGCAGCAGCCTCCCCCGGTCGTACCTCCCCTGGGCCGCTTCAAAAAGCCCCCACGCCTGCCACGTGTAGGGGTTCTTGGGACTGGCGCCCAGGGCGCGCTGGGGGGATAAAAGGGAGAGAGAGACGAGTGCGGTGGAGAGCAGAGGGCGAGGAGGGAAATAAGATTGCGGTCGTGGGCTCTGCATGGGTTCAAACCGCCCCCACGCCTGCCATGTGTACGGGTTCTTGGGACTGGCGCCCAGGGCGCGCTGGAGGGAGAAAGACAGGAGAGTCGGATGGAGAGTGGGAGGGCGAGGAAGGAAAAGAGAATGCGGGGTTTGAGCCGCCTCAAGCAGTCCCCACGCGTGCCACGTGTTGGGGTTCTTGGGACTGGCGCACAGGGCGCGCTGGAATACAGGGAACTGGGGGAATGGGGGCATGGGATGTCAGAAAGGCGAGCGAAGGAAAAGGGACGGTGTGAGTTGGCTCTAACAGCCCCCATGCATGCCACGTGTAAGGGGTTCTTGGGACTGGCCCCTAGGGCACGCTGGAGAGCTCTTAGAGCATTTGAGGGAGGTCGTACCTGGAAGAGCAGGCGAGTGGAGGCGGCGTCACCCTGCTGCGCTTCCAGCAGCGCCCAAGCCAGCCAGCTGGCAGCAAGGTACTAACTGGAACAGCAGCACCACGGGGAGGTCGTACCTGGAAGAGCAGGCGAGTGGAGGCGGCGTCTCCCTGCTGTGCCTCCAGGAGCGCCCAAGCCAGCCAGCTGGCAGCGCTCTTTCCGTTCATCCTTGTGGCCTGGAGGAAGAGCGCCCTCGCCTCCGCCAAGCGCCCATTCTGCACCTCCATCACCGCCAGTGTCTGTGTGGGGGAAGGGGGGGGGAGGGGGGTGGAGGTGCGTCAAGCCACCTCTATCAGCGCTCGTGACGTTCATCCTTGTGGCCTGGAGGCACCCTTGCTTCCGCCACGCGCCCATTCTGCACCTCCATCACCGCCAGGGACTGAAGGGGGAAGGGGACGGGGGGGGGAGGGGGGGGGGAGGAGTTGGGGGGTGTACGGTGAGGTTACATGGAAGTTGGGTTGGAGTGGAGGTGCGTGAAACCCCTCTAGCAGCGCTCCTGCCATTCATCCTCGTGACGTGGAGGAAGAGCGCCCTTGCGTCTGCAACCCGCCCATTACCTTGCTCCAGCTCCCCCTAACAGACATACTCGTTTGAAGACAGACTCGTTACAAGGAACACACACCGTACCTGGTAGATGTACTCATTCCCGCTGCACAGCTTCAGCCCCTTCGACAGGAGCTCCCTCGCCCGGCGCACATTCCCCTGCTTCAACCCCCCCCCCCCCTACAGACATACTCGTTTGTAGGCACATGAACTCGTTATAAGGCCGAGGCACTGTACCTGGTATATGTACTCGTTCCCGCCGCACAGCTTCAGCCCCTTCTGCAGCAGCTCCCTCGCCCGGCGCACATTCCCCTGCTTCAGCTCCAGCACCGCCCACCCGTGCCATGCTGCCACGTGTCTCTCATCCGCCACCGTGGCAGCATCAAACAGCTTGCGCGCTTTCTCTACATTGCCCGCCTGTGCCTCCAGCACTGCCCAGGTCTGATGGGGAGGGAGAAGAGGGGAGAGGAGAGGGGGGGAAGGGGGGAGGGAGTGAGACGGCAAAACGAGAAGGAGAGGGAGTGAGAACGGGAGGGAAGACGAGGGACGAGAGGGTGCCCAGAGGCGTTCACGACAAGGGTCAGGCGAGAGGGGTCAGGGGAGCACGGTTTGAGACGGGTACAAAGTGTGGGACCCACACCCTCCCATCCCCTCGTCCTTGCCCTCTCCACCTCCCTCCACCCACCAACAACCCCCTCCTCCCTACCTTCTCCCACCAACAACCCCCTCCTCCCTTCCTTCTCCCACCAACAACCCCCTCCTCACTACCTCGTCCCAAACACAGCCCCCTCACCTCCCTTCCCCCTCCCACTCCCCACCAACCGAGTTCCGCACCTGCCAGATGAACGCGTTATCTCCGCCCAGCGCCTGGCACCCGTCCTCGAACACTCGGCGCGCTTCACCCAGTCGACCCTTCCGCTGCAGCATGCGCCCCAGCACCACGTACGGCCGCCCGTCGTCCGGCCAGTCGCGCACAGCCTGGGGAACGGGGAAGTGTTAGAGTGGGTGCGAAGCGGAAGCAAGGGGGAATCTGAGTCACCCCTTCCGCCGCAGCATGCGCCCCAGCGCTACGTATGGCAGCCCGTCGTCCGGTCAGTCGCGCACAGCCTGGAAGAGTGGGGTTGGGGAGGAGTGAAGGGGAGGGGGGAGAGGGTGGGGGGGGGTGTGGTAGGGGCGAGGGAAGCAGAAAAATAGGGAAAGGTGGTGGGAGAACGGCTTTTCACTCGATGCATACGTCTCTTCTACCGCCCGAACTGTGCCCCTTCCCTTCCTCTTCCCCCCCCTTCCCCGACTTCTCCCCCCTCGCCCCCCCCTCTTCGCTCCCTCCCCACGTATTCCCCCGTTCCGCCTACCTTGCGCATCAGCGCTTCCGCCTCTTGCGCCTTCCCGATGCGGAAGAAGTTGCGCGCGCGGTAGATGTCCAGATCCAGGTTGATCTTCAGCCGCTTGGGGTCCTCATTCTTCCGCGCACGCGGAGCCCACCGCAGCGCTCCGCGCAGCGCAGCGGCCGCTCCGGGGGGAAGCTGGCTCAGACCGCCTGGGCAGGGTGGGGAGGGAGGGGGGGGGGAAGAGGGACGGGTGGGTGGGGGGAGGAGGGGGGGGACGGGGAATGATGGACGGGAAATGTCGTCCGTTGGGACAGGGGGAGTCCATTGCAGCACCGCGCGCAGTGCAGCGGCCGCTCGGGGGGGCAGCTGGATCAGGCGGGCTGGAGGGGAAAGGGGGAGGTGAGGTGGAGGCGAGAGGTGCAGAGAGAGGCGCAGAGGGAGGAGCAGAGAGGCGCAGAGGGAGGAGCAGAGAGGCGCAGAGGGAGGCGCAGAGAGGCGCAGAGGGAGACGCAGAGAGGCGCAGAGGGAGGCGCAGAGAGGCGCAGAGAAGAACAGTCGGAGAAAGGTTCTGAAGCGTTTCACATCAGGCCCCTCCGAACGCAGGTGAGGCACCTTCGGGAATTGAAAGTAAGCGAGAACGAACAGAAAAAAACGCTGTGATTCACCGCTGTTGCTGATGCCGCGGCTCTAGCAGGAAATGGCTCACGACGTCGTTCATCTCCTGCTGTGGCGTGTTTGAGCCAAATTAAAAGCCACCAACGCTGTGACCTACCATCGTTGCTGATGCCTCAGCTCCTGCTGTGACAAAGGCTGACACCTACCGTCGTTTCCAATGCCTCGCCTCAACCTTGACTCCAGGAGGAAGTCGCTCACGACGTCGTTCATCTCCTGCGCCGCCATGCCGCTCCGCTCCTCGATCCCCCCCAGATGACTTATGAGTCGACTCAAACGCAGAGCCCATCAGGAAATCACTCACGATGCCGTTATCTCCTGCAATGATGTAGGCTGCGACTTACCGTCGTTGCCGATTCCGCGGCTCATTCGGGACTCCAGGAGGAAGTCGCTCACGATGTCGTTCATCTCCTGCGCCGCCATGCCGCTCCGCTCCTCGATCCCCCCGTCACTGCCGATCGGCACCTCCACGTCCTCCGCACTGCTCTCCGCCGTCTCCTCCCCCTCTAGCTTCTCAACCGCTTCGAACCGGGTGGAACCGAACTCAGTCGCCTCAGCACCGAGCTGCGCCGTTCCTGTGCTCCCGCTCTGCTCCACGGCGACCCCATCTACTGCATCCCCTAGCGAAGCTGCGGCAGCAGCAGCAGCAGCGGCATTATCAGCGCTTAGACCAGCCTGCGAAGCCCGTGCAGTAGCCTTAGGAAGGGTTTTCTTCAGCACCCACCCCTTTTCCGTTAAGGACCACATCTTGCTCCTCCGGCGACGCCGACCTGATTGGCCTGCAGCCATGGCTGCCTCTGCTTCTGAAGCGAAGATTCCCGGAGATTCATCCAGGCCTGCTGCCAGAGTTCTCCATCCGGATTTGTCCTTGTCGTTTTCCGTCTTCGTTCCGTTTACCGTCGTTCCGTTAGCGGTCGCGCCGTCTCCTCTTGACGACAGTACGAAAGTGGAAATCTCGGAGGAATCGGGGTCCTGGTTTTCCACGGGACGCCATTCGAGCGAGGTTGGCGAAATATGCGTTCTGGAGTTACCAGGAGATTCACCAGGTGCGTCTGACGAAACGTTCTCGCGCAGAGAATTTGTTTCGCCGGAGAATCTGCTAGACGAAGGCGGAGAATTAACTGAAATGCGGTCATTGATAGCTACAGCCAAGGGGTCGACAGTAGCGCTACGACCTTCACGAACAGACCGGCATTTCGCGGACCTCTCGTTACCTTTCGCCAACCGAACCAGCTGGCGTTGAGAGGCTCTTCCTGACTGGAGAAACTCGCTCTGGGTGAATTCCAGAGGAGCGTGGGCCGGAGCCGAGAGGAGCGATAACCTTAGCGAACCCATGGCATTGGACGCCATGGATTCGGAAAGCTGGCGATAACCTCTAGCCTAAGTCAAGTGTGAAACCTGATAATCTCAAGATGACTGAAGTTGGCTGAGGGAGGAGAGGAAGAATAGCCATTCGAGCCTAGAAGTTGACGGGGAACGACTTCTGGCAACGGTGGCGACATTCGCGACTTGCTGATTGCGACAAGTGATCTTATTCGTGAAACTTTGTTACGCGTGCCGAAGGTGCCTTCGCGATTCCCGAAGGTTGACGGGAATTCGAGATCGAACCAGCGACAGCCACGAGAGCGGTTGGAGGCTCCAAGCTACGTGGAGAAAAGGCTGACGAACCAATCAGGTCTCCCCTCTTCTGATACATTCAGATTGCCCTAGTTTCTCTGGTTGAAGATAGCTCACTTCGCTTCGCTATAAGCTGCCTTAATTTCGCCATGTACAACAACTTGGCAATTCTCTCTTACACTAGCCCCAATGCAACTTGTATACAAATCACTTACATTTTTTACTAGTAGCAACATCCCATGCCTTGAATTCAGCTAGCTTGGCTAATCGCTCTTGACAACCCATCTGGAATATTCTATTCGAGAATTCCTCTACGCTTGGTTCCCCAGCCCAAGCAGCCATGCGTGCAAACACTTCCGCCTTGGAAGTCGGCGCTGCTTGTTGCTGCTTCCGTTGCTCTAGCCCCCCTTGCTGCTGCTGCTGCAACAAATGCTGCTCCGTCCGAGCCTCTTCCCCACTCTCACTAGTCCTTTTCAGGGGTTTTGACCCCTTCTGTTGCACACTTGCCTTCCGCTTCCCTCTCCTTGCACCTTTCTCCTCAACCTTACTACTCTCCCCCCCAGCTCTCTCCCTCATACCTGTCCTCTCCATTGACCCTGTAGTCTGATCCTTTTTCCCCTTTCCCCTTGTACTCACAAGGGGAGGGCGGGGGGGAAGAGGACGAGGGGGGGTACTTGGACGGGCGAGCGGTGGTGGGGCCAAAGGGGCCAATGGAGTGCTAGTCCTCGCACCATGGTGACCCCTGATAACGTCATCATTCACATGGGTGTATGCCACGCCAGCATCAAGAAGCTCATCAGGTATTGAACCCATGGCATGTGCATGGCCCAAGGCATGTCCACAGCCCAAGGCATGTCCAGATTCCAAGGCATGTCCAGGTATCTCCTGCTTCCGAGCTCCCGGCACCTCCCTCGCTAACACTATCTGGGCCAGCACACCCACTCCATTGTCCTCATCGTCCAGCCTCCTCCCCTTGCCTCTACCGCTTGTCACATTCATCTCCTGCGCAGCCTTTTTCTTCCCAGAGGGGTACTTCTCACCCGCCCCTGCTATTCTACCTCCTCCTGCACCTGCACCTCCTGTGCCATCCTGCCTGTGCTCTCCACCTGAGGCTTCAGGTGCTTCAGGTGACTGGCCAGGTCTTTCAGGTGCCATGGCACGAGGCACCTGCACAATAAGCAGTGCTTCGTGCTGCTGCTTTCTCCTCTCCTCCTCCTGCTCCTGCTGCTGCTGCTGCTGCTGCTGCTGCTGCTGCTGCTGCTGCTGCTGCTGCTGCCTCGTCTCCCTGCCAATGATCTCAGCCGACAGAATGCTCTCGCTGTGGTCTTGAAACAGGTTTGCCACTCCAAACAGCTCCCCTTGGTGGGCCTTGGAGCCCTGAGAGGGGGGAGAGGGAGGGGCAGCAGAAGGAGCAGCAGAAGAGGCAAAGAGAGGGAACAAGGGAAAGGGAAGAGAGAGAATGCTCTCGGTGCGGTCTTGAAACAGGTTTGCCACTCCAAACAGCTCGCCCTGATAAGCCTTACTCTGTTCTCCCTGAAGAGAATCCGCAGTCACTCACTTGCACTCCACCACATGTCTCCCTTAGCCCAGCCTCTTCGCCCACCGCCTGGCCATGCCAATCCCCTCACCTGTACCCCACTGAAGTATCTGTGCTCTGTGGCCCCCTCGATCGCGATGTTGGTCTGCTGCTGCTTGTACACCTGCCGCAGATACACCACCTCCTCCACTGTGCCGCCCGCCACCAGCCGGTACACCGACACGTGTCGCGTCTGGCCGAATCTGAACGACCGGTCCTGAGCCTGTGATAGGGGAGTGTAGGGGAGAGATAAGGGGAGAGAAAAGGGGAGAGATGAGGGGAAAGAGTGGGGAGAGATAAGGGGAGAGAGTGGGGAGAAGCATCAGGCGCACCACCTCCTCCACTGTGCCGCCCGCTACCAGCGGATACACCGACACGTGCTGCCTCTGGCTGTATCTGAACGAGCGGTCCTGAGCCTGTGTTGGGGGGTGGGGGAAGAAGGGGTGGGTAAGGGATGAGGGGATTGGTTGGAGGTGATGGGGAAGAAGCATGATAGAAGCCTCGTTTTAAGGCGCCTCAAAACTAGACTTCTATCACGCGGAAGAGAGGTTGTGCGAAGAAGGGGAGACGGGAGTGAAGACGCATGTGCGAGGGAGGACTACATGACCACAAAACGCAAATCCAGGCGAGCGTTCAAAATGCCAAACGCTTTTGTGGTCAAGCGGCGGGAGGGGAGAGGAGGGGAGAGGAGGGGAAAGGCTGGAAGTGGAGCAGACGAGACGAGATGAGATGAGGGCTAAAGAGGGGGGAACACCGAGGGGGGAACACCGAGGGGGAAACACCGAGGGGGGAACACCGAGGCACAAACACAAACCATCTCGATGCATGATGCATCCTCTCACCTGCAGGTCGTGAGCCGGGTACCACATCCGATCAAAGATGATGACTCGGTTGGCGCTCACCAGGTTGAGTCGATTCAGCCCCCTCGATAACTTACCCTACTCTGCCCACCCCGTGCCCTCCCCTCCGCTCCCCCTCCCCCGCTCAATCCCCCACACGCACCTGTAGGTCGTGAGCCGGGTTCCACGTGGGATCGAAGATAATGACTCGGTTGGCGCTGACTAGGTTGAGGCCAATGCCGCCCGCCTTGGTGGAGATGAGAAGCACCTGAGGAACGCCGGGGACGAGCGGAGGAGTCCATTTTTGAGGCGCCTCACAAATAGACTCCACACCTGAGGAACGGAGGGGACGAGCTAAATTGGTACCAAGCCGCGGCTATAGCTGTTGGTCTGATAAATTTGGATGCGACACGGTGCGAGGGGGAGAGAAAAGGGAGAAAAGAGAAGACAGAAAATGAGTGAAGGTACCTACTCAAAGAAGCGGCAATTAAGTCGCCCTACTCACCTGCTTGGAGGGGCACGAGTTGAAGGCATGGTTGAGTAGTTTAGGTTTGAGACGTCTCAAAACTTAACTACTTAACCGCTACTCACCTGCTTGGAGGGGCTGGAGTTGAAGCCATGCACAAGCGCCTGTCGTGTGGTGGTGGAAGTAGAGCCGTCGAGGCGAGAGAAAGAGACCCCCCTGGCCTCCAAGAAGCGTTGTAGCACATCCAGCATTCTGGCAACGGCAGGGCGAGGAGGAGAAAGGAGCGATGGAAACAGCTGAGGTGCAGTGCAGTCGTGATGATGGGTGAGGCTTTTGAGGCGCCTCAAAAATGGCGGAAGAGAAATGAGTGAGGAAACAGCTGAGGTGCAGTCGTGAATCATGATGACGGGTGAAGGACAAAGATGGGAGCCAAGGGGACCCCTCTGGCCTCTAGTTTGACCATGTTTGACTCGGATTGAATCTTACTTGACCAAGTGGCTGAACAGCAGAACATTATCCCCCCGCCCACACCACTGCTCAGCAGCCAGACCAAACTAGGCTTGGTTCATTTGACTCAGTTTGACTCCTACTTGACCGAGAGGGTGAACAAGAGCATTTTGTCCCCTCTCCCACACCACTGCCTTAGCAGTTGCTCCAGCTCCCTCACCTTCCTGCAGTGCTCGCTGCTGCCAAGTGCCTGCAGGGTAAGCTTGACAACATTTGACTCGGTTTGACCTGGTTTGACTCGGTTTGACTTGGTTTGACTCACTTGACCGAGTGGCTGAACAGCAGCACCTTATCCCCTCTTCCACACCACTGCCTCAGCAGCCGCTCCAGTGCCCTCAGCTTCCCGCAGTGCTCGCTGCTGCCAAGCGTCAGCAGATTACTCGCCGCCCGCACGCCGCCAGCCAGGTCAGCGTCGCCGGCCAGCGCCAGCCTGGCAAATGCGAGATCCCGCACTTGCTTGTCTGGCGGGTCCCTGGGATTCGGTTTCAGAAGCTCCAAATGGTTGCTGATCTACACGGCAAGAGAGAGGAGAGGAAAGAAGGGGGGCAGAGACACAATAAGCAGCAGAGGAGACCCCTGGGCTGCTTGCCAGGAGGGTCCCTGGAATTGGGCTTCAGTAACTGTTGCTGATGTGTAACTGTTGCTGATGTGTAACGGTTGCTGATGTGTAACTGTTGCTGATGTGTAACGGTTGCTGATGTGTAACTGTTGCTGATGTGTAACTGTTGCTGATGTGTAACTGTTGCTGATGTGTAACTGTTGCTGATGTGTAACTGTTGCTGATGTGTAACTGTTGCTGATGTGTAACTGTTGCTGATGTGTAACTGTTGCTGATGTGTAACGGTTGCTGATGTGTAACTGTTGCTGATGTGTAACTGTTGCTGATGTGTAACTGTTGCTGATGTGTAACGGTTGCTGATGTGTAACGGTTGCTGATGTGAGAAGGGGGACGACGAAGAGGAGGGGAGAACAGGGGGAAGGGGGGCACCAAGAGGGAAGATTGAGAAGGCAGCGAGGGGAAAATGTGATAGGAAATAGGCAGCTTGTGGGCTCTTGCGATTGGTCACTCAAGGATCCTAGAAATTACTAGCACCATCCGCCCATATCCACACCATCTGCCCATATCCACCCATCCATATCCACCCATCCATGTCCACCCATCCATGTCCCATGTCTTCATATCGCATACCTGCTGCAGCATGGTAACGCATGGGAAGAGCACGCAGAATGGGCAGCGCGGGCAGCAGAGGCCAGAGCACCCCTCCCTCCCCGTGCCCTCATACAGACGCGTCAAGAACATACTGGTTGTGTCTTACCTGCTGTAGCTTGGTAAGGCACGGGAAGAGCACGCAGAATGGGCAGCGCGGGCAGCAGAGCCCATCGGGGTGAAGGGAGGACCGAAGAATTCCTCTCCCTCCCCTCGTTAAGACAGGGAAGTACCATACCTGTTGTAGCTTACATGTAATACCGTACCTGCTGCAATTTCGTTAGGCACGGGAAGAGCACGCAGAAGGGGCAGCGCGGGCAGCAGAGCCCGTCAGGGTGAAGGGACGACCAGAGCACCCCTCCCCCTCCCCTCTCCTCGCCCCCGTCCCCCCTGTGGTGGCACTCGCTGCGCTTCCTTGGCCCGCCGCAACTGAAGGGAGTAACGATAACAGGGGAGGGAGCACAGTGCCACGCCATGGGGTTATTTCACAATGCTCGTCCTCTTGTGTCTCCTCCCCTCTCCTCACCCCTCCCCCCCCTCTCCCCGCCGTCCCCCTTGTGGTGGCACTCGCTGCACTTCCTTAGCCCACTGCAGAGGGCGAAAGGAGGTCACGAAAGGAAGGCAGGCGATGCTGGAGGCATGAGGGAAGCATTTCTTTGCCTTTCTCTGGCTCTGTGATGGCACTTGGCCAAGTAACCAAGTGGATGAGCGCACCACAAGTGACAAAAAAAAAAGCAGCAACCCTCATCCCCTTCTCAGCTGCACGGCTCATCCTTCCTTGAGAGCAGTTGAAATTCCAGTATTCGCAAGCACCGCCGCTGGTACACCCTCCCTCACCCCCCTCTGTCACCTCACCCCCCTCCCCCCAACAACACGGTGACTTTTGAGTCGACTCAAAAGTCGCCTCACCCCCCTCCCCCCAACAACACACCTGCACGGCTCATCCTTTCTAGAGAGCAGCTGAAAGTCGGGTAGTCGCAGGCACCGCTGGTACACCCTCCTCTGGAGTGACGTCATCGGACACACCACTATCATGTCACGCTTTCCAGGAAGCTTCAACACGCCCCCAAGCTCGTCCTTGTGCCGCCGAAGCAGCACCCGAGCCAGCGCCCGAACCAGCTCCGCCTGCCGAGCCTGCGCTTTAGCCACCAAGGGCTGGGGAGCCGCCTTGCGCTGACCCTGAGTGTGTTGGTGGGGAGAGCGGACGGGAGTGAGAGAAAATCTAGGCGCCAAAAAAATGAATAAACCCTGCTTGGGCGGGTGGGGGGAGTAAAGGGGGAGTGAGAGATCACAGGAAAGCGAGACCATGCGAAGGCAGAGCAGAAAAATAAAAAAGGGTTTCGTAAGCAAGGCCCCAAGGTCCCAAGGAGCCGAGAAACCCCAGCCTCACTCACTGCAGCACGCCCCACACAACAGCTCTTCCTTCCCCAGCTTCCCCCACCAGTCACTACGCACCCACCAGCCCGCCCCCTCACCAGCCTGAGGGGGTCGCTGTATCGCTCGTTGAACTCCTTGAGGGACCTCAGGAACCCCGGTTTCACCCCATGCAGCACACTCCACAGCTCCCCATCCCCACCAACCAGAATGCATGCTCCTGTCAGCCAGTATAACACGTACCAGCCTGAGCGGGCTGCTGTATCGCTCGCTGAACTCCTTGAGAGAGCCGAGGAACCTCAGCTTCACCCACTGCAGCACCCTCCAGAGCTCTTCCCCCCATCCCCCCCACCCACCAGCCCCCACACAGCCCCACCACACCGCACTCACACCAGTCTGAGGGGGTCGCTGTATCGCTCATTGAACTCCTTCAGGGACCCAAGGAACCCCGGCTTCACCCACTGCAGCACGCTCCAGAGCTCACCACATATCACCAGCCAGGGCCTTTTCTTTCATCAGTCAGTGTAACACTCACCAGTCTGAGCGGGTCGCTGTATCGCTCATTGAACTCCTTCAGGAACCCAAGGAACCCCGGCTTCACCCACTGCAGCACGCTTCAGAGCTCACCACATATCACCAGCCAGGGCCTTTTCTTTCATCAGTCAGTGTAACACTCACCAGTCTGAGCGGGTCGCTGTATCGCTCATTGAACTCCTTCAGGGACCCAAGGAACCCCGGCTTCACCCACTGCAGCACGCTTCAGAGCTCACCACATATCACCAGCCAGGGCCTTTTCTTTCATCAGTCAGTGTAACACTCACCAGTCTGAGCGGGTCGCTGTATCGCTCATTGAACTCCTTCAGGGACCCAAGGAACCCCGGCTTCACCCACTGCAGCACGCTCCAGAGCTCCCTAAAGTCGTTCTGCATGACTGTGCCTGACAGCCCGTAGCGACGGTTAGTGTTGACGCGAGCAGCGCACTGGGGGGGGGGGAAGAGACAGAGACGGGGGAGGCGGTTGGCGGGAGGGCGGATGGGGGAGTGGGTTGGGACCGTGGGGGCACGGGCGATGGGCAGGGGTATTTTGAGTCGACTCAAAATACACCTGGGCATATGCTCCAGAACTCTCTAAAGTCGGTCTCTTCTGCATGACCGTTCCTGACAGGCCGAACCATCGCCCTGTCACCGGTTAGCGTTGATGCGGGCAGCACACTGGCGGGAAGGGTAGATGAGGGGGTTGCGGGATGGGAGATGGGAGATGGGAGATGAGAGATGGGAGATGGGCACACTCAAGCACATTCTACGGATTCACAGAATCGTTCACATGCCTCGCTTTGTGCCTCGCTTTGTTCACATGCCTCACTTTGTTCACTTCATATGCCTCGCTTTGTTCACATGCCTCGCTTTGTTCACTTCATATGCCTCGCTTTGTTCACATGCCTCGCTTTGTTCACATGCATCGCTTTGTTCACTTCATATGCCTCGCTTTGTTCATTCACATGCCTCGCTTTGTTCACATGCCTCGCTTTGTTCACATGCCTCGCTTTGTTCACATGCCTCGCTTTGTTCACATGCCTCGCTTTGTTCACATGCCTCGCTTTTTTCACGTGCCTCGCTTGGTTCACATGCCTCGCTTTGTTCACATGCCTCGCTTTGTTCACCTGAAACAGATTACTTTTGAGTCGACTCAAAAGCCTTTTTTATGCCTTAGCTATGTATACATGTGCGGCACACACCTGAAAGAGCGCCCAACTGTAGCTCTTCAGCCGGTGGACTTGGACCTCGTCCGCAATGGCCATGGGCCATGGGTGCAGGCAGAGCCGCGAGGCACCGGGCCTTTGCGCACTGGTAGGAGACGGAGCAGAGCTGAGCTGAAAGGCCACACTAGGTGGTAGGAACAGAGCTGAGCTGTAAGGCCACACTAGGTGGTAGGAACAGAGCTGAGCTGAAAGGCCATACTAGGTGGTAGGAACAGAGCTGAGCTGTAAGGCCATACTAGGTGGTAGGAACAGAGCTGAGCTGTAAGGCCATACTAGGTGGTAGGAACAGAGCTGAGCTGAAAGGCCATACTAGGTGGTAGGAACAGAGCTGAGCTGAAAGGCCATACTAGGTGGTAGGAACAGAGCTGAGCTGTAAGGCCATACTAGGTGGTAGGAACAGAGCTGAGCTGTAAGGCCATACTAGGTGGTAGGAACAGAGCTGAGCTGTAAGGCCATACTAGGTGGTAGGAACAGAGCTGAGCTGTAAGGCCACACTAGGTGGTAGGAACAGAGCTGAGCTGTAGCTCTGCAGTCGGTGCACCTCTTCCACTATGGCCATGAGCCATGGGTGCGGGCAGAGCAGGGGCCGCGACGGGGTGCGCGCACCTCGTCAATCCTGGCTTGTGAAAATCCTTCCACAGCAACCGCCTACCTGAAACAGAGCAGAATTGTAGCTCCGCAGTCGGTGCACCTCGTCCACTATGGCCATGAGCCATGGGTGCGGGCAGAGGGTGTCGGCTGCAAAGCGGAAGGTGTCAAACGTGGTCAGCAGAATCTGCAGTAGGAGGGGGAAGGGAGCACATGCATTGGCAGGCAGGAGGGAGAAGGTGGCACAAGTGGCAAACAGAGAAGGGGGGTGAGTGGTTTCAGACGGGAAATGAGTGGTTTCAGACGGGAAATGAGTGGTTTCAGACGGGAAATGAGTGGTTTCAGACGGGAAATGAGTGGTTTCAGACGGGAAATGAGTGGTTTCAGACGGGAAATGAGTGGTTTCAGACGGGAAATGAGTGGTTTTGGAAGAGACATCGAGTAGGACTGTTCAGTCCTCACCGTGTCCAGTCCTCACTCAGACCAGACGGAGCTGAGCTTCACACGAGCATTTCCCCGCTGGGAGCAGGCCGAGTGGCCCCTAAACCCTCAACCCCCTCTAGAGTTTGACCAAGGCCTCACCTCAGCCGACGTCACCTCAGCCGACGTCACCTCAGCCCACGTCACCTCAGCCCACCTCACCTCAGCCGACGTCACCAAAAGCCACTCTCACCTCCGCCCATCCGGACATCAGCTGCACGAGAGCAGCCTCCCTGTGCGCCCCATGGAAGACAGCAGTGCGGAAGTGCCCCCACCGACTCAGCTCCTCCTGCCAGTTGCCCAGCACTGAACTCGGCACCACCACTAGTATTGCTCCCCGTGCTGCTCCCCCTGCTCTGCTCCCAGCTGCCTCCACTGCCGCTGATGCTGCTTGCTGTGGTGCCGCTGGTTCCTCCAGTGCTGCTTGTGCCGCCTCTGATGCTGCTGCCACTGATGCAGCAGCAGCTGCCTGTGCTGCTGCTGCCACTGATACCGAACCCCCAGGAGCAGCCATGTCTTCAGCCGTGCCTGTCTTCCCCAGCGCTGCTGCCATCAGCGCAATGGCCTGGATCGTCTTGCCCAAGCCCCTGCGCGCGCGCGCACACACACACACACACACACACACGCACGCACGCACACACACACGGCAATCAGGTGTGTGTGATCGGGCTCCAGATTACACCCCAGGAGCAGCCGTGTCTTCAGCCGTGCCTATCTTCCCCAGCGCTGCTACAAAAAGCGCAATGGCCTGAATCGCCTTGCCCAGGCCCCTGCACACACACACACATGACAACCCATGACAACCCTCCCAACACATGGGCCACCTTCCCGATTGGCTGAGAACTTTCTAGAAAGGAAGTGCTAGTGCTGTCAACCCCCCCTTACAGTCACGTACATGTCGTCTGCCAGTATGCCGCCCGTATTCTGTCTGAACAGCCGGTACAGGAACCGCACCCCCTCCTTCTGGTGCTCCATCAGGTGCCGGCTGATAGATGCCGGTACCCTCACCACCTCATCTCCTCTCTCCTGTCCCTTCACAGCGGTTGACTCTCCTCCATTCCCCATCCGCACGCCCTCCTTCTCATGCCTCATCAGGTGCCGGCTCATACACACCGGTGCCCTCACCCCCTCCTCCTCCTTCTCATGTTCCTTCAAGGCAATTGACCCTCCTCCGCTCCCCATCTGCTCTCCTTCCTTCTGCTGCTCCTCGCTCCCATCCATTACTGCCTCTTCTGGCCACACCACCAGCCCCTCATCCCCCTCCGTGCTTTCCCACACACTCCCATTCCTCTCCCACTCCTCCGCCCTCCTCCTCTCCTCCTCTATATACTCCTCCCAAGCCAGTGCCCTGGCACTCCTCAGAGCCGAGCCAACTTCGTTTCCTGGACCAACCCCTGCCTCCCCAATAGCTCGCCCTGCGTCCCCTCCTACTCGCTCTGCGTCCCCTCCTACTCGCTCTGCGTCCCCTCCTACTCGCTCTGCGTCCCCTCCTGCCCCTGCGCCTACAGCCCCCCCTTCCGCTTTCCCCTCCGCTCCATCCACCGCCTCTCCTCCCATTCTGCGTCTCTCTGCCTGAGCACCCACTGCTACCAACGCCTGAGCTCTTTCTATGGCTGCACCTGCCGTTGACGCCGAGCCCCCTGACACCCACACTGCTGCTGCTGCTGCTGCTGCTGCTGCTGCTGCTGCTGCTGCTGCTGCTGCTGCTGCTGCTGCTGCTGCTGCTGCTGCTGCTGCTGCTGCTGCTGCTGCTGCTGCTGCTGCTGCTGCTGCTGCTGCTGCTGCTGCTGCTGCTGCTGCTGCTGCTGCTGCTGCTGCTGCTGCTGCTGCTGCTGCTGCTGCTGCTGCTGCTGCTGCTGCTGCTGCTGCTGCTGCCGCTGACACTGTAACTGGTCCTTCCCTATGCGCTGCTTCTGGCGCCGTAGCGACCGTTGATTTCGCTCTCCCTACAACATCGTCACCGTCGGCTTCCAATTTCCCTCCTCCCGGAGAATCTGACGGCGTCCTTCTGACGGAATCCGTCTTCTGTCCGCCACAAGCTCTAAGCCACGCAGAAAACGGTCGGTCGCGTAACGGACGCGTCTCCTGCCCATCCTCCTGCCTCTCCTGACTCTTCGCACTCTCCTCAGCATCCTGACTATCTGACAAAATACTCCGCCTGTCATTTTCTGTGATCCGCATGTGATCTCCTCTCTCCCGCTCGTCTTCTGGTAACCTGTAACCGTCAAATCCTGCCCTATCTTGGAGCCGATCAGCCTCAGGTGACTCGGGACCATCCGAGAGGCCATCTTGCGTTGGCTTAAAGAAGAACTCGATAAGCTCGTTCCTTGAAACCATGATGCTGCTGGCTATATTGTGATGTTACGTAGAAGCTGTTTTGAAAATGCTTCAAAACCTATATCACCTCGTCAGTCGAAACCATGGTCGCGAAATGATAACGACTTACGGAAGCTTGAGACGTTAAAAAAAATAAAAGGCAGGCCGTGAAACAATAAGGAGGTAATATTGCCTAAAGGGAAGCTCGCGCGTCAAACGGGTTAGCACAGAAACGCAGGCGTGGTCCTGAAACGTAACATGGCCTGTGGCTCACGAAATATCTCGAAACGGTCACGTAGTCTACCTGCTCGAACGTGGAAGCCATATGAAACGGTCAGGTGATTCTAGCGTCGACGATACTAGCGTCGGCGACGTGTGGATTTTGTAACCGTCAGCACTGGCTACCGCGGAACTAGGAACTATTATGCTGAAACAGGAAACTAAAACATATACTACTGACTTCTAGAACTATGGCCGGGGGATGTGCCTGAAGGTGAACTGGTAATCAGTACTAGCCGTCAGGGCGTGTCCTAAGCGTTAATTTTTTGCCAATACCCTACCGAACCGTGTTACGGAGCTATTTGATCTTTTTGGAAAGCAATTCACCTCACTCAACCGCATTCGGACGGACTCTTAGGACACCCCCAGCAATCAAACTCGATATTGAATGAAACATGAGGACGTTTTAAAACGACTTCGGAAAACCTAAAAGACCTATACAGGTAAGTTCTTTATCAAACTAATAATGGAAGCTTGAAAGATTGTTAGCAATAATCTGTAGCCCACATGATGTCAGCAATATAATCTAGCAAACTCATGCCTTTATATAAACTTCAAACCCATTTATCATGCATGTTCAGTTTAGCCCAGCAAGGTACTCTGTTCCAACAAAGGAAGGGACGACAATTAGAAGTGCATCAAATGCGAGAGTGGCATGACTTCCTAGCCGATTGACATGGGTACCAAGTAGTAGCTCCATGTCAACATATTTATATATTGTTATAGGCTAGATAGGTGCATGCTTATAGAGAGTACAGCACCATAGCACAAAACCTGCATGTATGCCTCATTCTAGTTATTGCGTTATTCTGATATGGTATCACGCTATGTTAGGTCCCCCTCCCCGCTTACGCTTCCGCCACTAGCCCTAGCCCTAGCCCTAGCCCGTCTCCTAGCCGTGACCTAGCCCAAGCCGCGCCCGAGCCCTAGCCCTAGCCGCGCCGTGCCGCACCCGAGCCGCGAACGCGCCGTAGCCCTAGCATTAGCCGCGCCCAAGCCGCACCCGCACCCACACCCTAGTCCGCGCCAGCCCCGTCCCTCCGTGCCGGCCCCGCTAGTCTGCTCCGGTCCCGCCACATCGCGCCGGCCCCGCTAGTCCGCGCCGGCCCCGTCCCTCCGCGCCGGCCCCGCTAGTCCGCACCGGCCCCTAGTTCCTAGCGCCCGCCCTAGTCCCTAGCTCGCCGCTGGCCCGTCGCGCCCCGTGCGAGCCCGCTGGCCCCTAGCTCGCCCCCTGGCCCCTAGCTCGCCGCTGGCCCTTCGCGCGACGCGCGAGCTCTCGCCTGCTGGCCCCTAGCCCGACGTTAGCCCTTCGCGCGCCGCGCGAACCCTCGCCCGTTGGCCCCTCGCTTGTCGCTGGCCCTTCGCGCGCCACGTGAGCCCTAGCCCGCTGGCTCCTAGCTCGCTCGCCGACCCTAGCTTGCTCGCCTCCCTCGCGCGCTCACTGGCCCTAGCTCGCCGGCCCTAGCTCGCCAGCCCCAGCTTGCCGACACTCGCTCGTCGGCCCACGCTCGTTGGCCCACACTCGCTCGCCGCCCCCTAGCTCGCTGGCCCCAGTTCGCACCAGCCCTAGTTCGCGCCGACCCCCGTTCGAGCTGGCCCCAGTTCGCGCCGGCCCCTGTTCCTGCAGGCCCCAGCTCCCCACGGTCTCTGCTTGCCGCCATGACGCCGTGCCGTGGTGCCGCCATGCTGCCGTGTTGCTGTGTCGCCGTACCGCTCTGTCGTCGTGGCGTCGTGCCACCATGCCGCCCCGTGCCGCCGTACCGTCGTGCCACAGTGCCGCTGTGCCGTCGTCAGCTGCTGCAGCCGTGGCGATGGCAGACGCTGTGCTCCGCCTGGACGCGGAGGGTCGGGCGATCAACTTTGAGGCATGGCTCGCCGACCTCCGCCGCTCGCTGAAGGGACAGCGCCAGGATGGCTAGCCTATGGCCGTAACTGCTGAATAGACAGGACCTTGTAGCGGTTTTACCCTGCAGAGGAATTTCACATTTGGAGCATATTTGGGATCTCTCGCGGTTGGGGTTTTGCAGCGGCATCTTTGAAGCTTAGTTATGGGATTTTTAAGTTGCAGAATGGGTATCTCAAGTACCCTGGAGCGTTGGGTTTCTTGTTGTTTTACCCAAGCTACTAGGAGCTGTTTCTTCTTGGAGGGGGGGAGACATGCAGTTGCGTTGCAAGACCCTTCTGACATGTTCCATTTTCCATTTTCGACCGACTTCAACTTAAGTTACAAAATTCCGCCATCGTTCGTCAGCCTGCTGGCGAAGTTCAGTGACTTTCGCGATACATCAACAGGTGTTCTTGTACGTGTCACGGACGACCTCGCGAGTTGATGAATGGGTCTTCGACACTCGACAAACCATCGGCCATGTCATTAGTCAGTTTCATCATTACGCAAGATTGTTATCATCCACGCGTCATCACGACTCGTCATCTTCAGTCACTCGACAGTTTTACTGTTCACAAGGCTTTCGTTGGAGTAATAGCCCTTGCCCATTCGGTCAGCTGAAGAATTAGACCATCATCGACAGATGAGATTTAAAGCGATCGTTTCGACGCTTTCTGACCATCGATTTCAGTTCGACCTTAAGACCTCGTCAGGCCGGCGTAATCATTACGCTCGTCACAGGGGTGAAGACTTACAGTCACATCGGGGATAACTTTTAAAAACTGTTCGGCCTCGATAAAGGGGAGTGCCTTCTTTAGAATGTGGGAGAGTGTAAGGAATAACCATTCCTTACTGGGGCTCGCCGCAGCGAGTAGATGCGAACCTCTCGCGTCCGCAAGCTCGGCCGTCAAGTCACGCGCCAAACCAGCCCCCGCCGACCTCATTGGCCCCAGCCTCATCCCGAATCGCCTCGAACCCATTTTGACCCCATCGCTCTTGGAACTATCGAGCACTTGACTGGTCCAACTCTCGAGATTCAACCTAGTCAACTCGCACTATATAAGCCCTAGGTCTCATTTGGATAGGACATTCTGTATAATTCTGTGGGCACGTTCCCCTTATTGATTTCTGCGCTATACTCTGAGTTATAATTCATAACTCGGCTGAGAGCTGTTACAGGTTCAGCAATACAGTAACATAACAAAGTCGTGCGTACTATAATACTTTCAAAACCTTGTGACATTCCATATACAAAACAAGACCATTCAAGCATTTCTTTAAATTGTTGCCGAGGCACTACTAAAGGATTAAAGAAGCAGAGCAGAATACATGGAATATGGTAGTTCCACTTTCCCAAGGTATGGTGAGCAGGTAATACAAGAGCACAAGTTGCACAAAGCACGTACGGATACACAAAGCACAAGTTCCGTTTTCTCTGTGCTTTCCGTTTCCTCTCTCCTCGCCATCCGTCCCCCGTCTCCTCTCTCTCCTCCCTCTCTGCTCGCCATCCGTCCCCCGTCTCCTCTCTCTCTTCCCTCTCTCGTCGCCATCCGTCCCCCTCTCCTCGCCATCCGTTTCCCCCTCTCGTCGCCATCTCCCGCCTCTTCTCGCCACGTGTCTTTCTCTCGTCGCCATCCGTTCCCCCTCTCCTCGCTACGCGTTCCCCCGATCTTCTCGCTATCCGAGGCCCAATCCCCTTGCGGGAGTGTTTCATGGCCCGTGCCATTTAATCTCCGGCTATATACCTCCGCTAGAGTCGTGGGGCCTAATGGCGGGTTTTACAACGGTTTTGGTACGCGAACTTAGGCGGGCACTATGTCTTGTACGCCGATCTTAGCTCGTCCCAATGTGCACGTCGGTATTACGCCCAAGGTGTCATTTTCTTTAGGATAAAAAACCTCCCCCTCGTAGTGCTGGGAGTTGGTCGTCGATGGGCGGGCGGTTTCCTTTTTTTGACCTATGGTGTGGCAGCTATGGCTTCCTAAGCTTGACTGACTACGACATAATCTCCTCCTCCGAATCGTGAAGCACACCCATGGAGCTCTTGAACGACAGGTTTGAGGGTGGTAGTCGCATTCGACAAATTGTGCGACTTTCACACTTGTCGCACCGTGTTCCGCCGCAGTCGTTGATCAGTTTGGTGCGTCGTGGCCCTTTCGCTACGTTTCAAACTGTTGCAACATGTTTTTTTTCGTTTCGTTTGGTGTGTAGTGCTCGAGTCTGGGTCGTTTATTCTGACCCCCAAAAAGCTCAGTTTTCAAGAGCGCCCAGGGTGTGCTTTTCTAGCCTGTGGTTTTAAGAGCAGCCCTGAGGGGTACCAACCCTCATTTGCTAGGGTTTTATTTTTGGCATTTCCTGAAATTTCGGGAATTTTTTTGTAAGGGATATCTATCAGCTCTTTTTTTTTTGTAAGGGATCTCGAAATTTCAGACTTGTATCGAGCATGGGTTCTGCTTTTGTCAAAGGCATGATTTGCGAGTCCCCCCCAAAATTACAGTGATATGCGCATATTCCGCCATAAATCTAGCCTAACTGCCAGGTTCCCGCCTGCAGGCATCGTTTGGTGACTCACATGTTGCCGCGCTGCCTCAGGGGATTGGTCCTTCTCAAAGTTTGGTTTGAGGGTCGGCCAGCACATACAGTGGCGGAAAGTATTGCCCGGATAAAAACCACTTTTAGGTTCAAACACGGGGTTGAATGCTTTTTAATGAGGTATCGCTGAATTTCAAAGCTATGTTGTAAGTTACGAGTGCTGCCTGCATAGTGGTAACACTTTTGCAAATTGAGTGGGTCGCACTAATAGCGTGGACAAGATTTGAGTCGCGTGAGTGCATCCGGACAGTTTCGGCCAAGCAGCGGACTAGATCTGTTTTCGAGTGCAGCAAAATCTCCATTGTTTCTCCCGCGAGTTTTGATTAGTCAGGAAAGAGCTTATACCCGAGGCTTTGACTAGGCTGAGATGAGACCGATAGATGAGGCGCGTCGCGCACGGATCATAACCCTGTTGCGGAGGGGGTATAGAACAAGGCGTATCGCGAGGACCTTGGCGTAGGGAAAAGCACAGTACAGGTCATATGCTTGTAGACAACCTCCTTTTACGCCCAGGAGAATCTCATAGGCATTTTATCCTTAAGGGCCTCTCCTTGTAAGCAAATTGTACCCGTCTCAACTGAACAGTAAATATGACAGTCAAGTCGGATGATCCAAGACCGTCCAATCATTTTTGTCCTGTGTTTTCAGAGCGACCACGCCTATTGGTCGGCGAGCCTTTAAAAATCCAGATGTGTCAGGCTCGCCAACCAATGTCGAAAAAGAAATCCAATAGCTCGCTGACGGTCCAGTAAAATTACGAATGCAAAGCCAACGCAATCCGTCGGCGTCGCCCATGGAAAATCCGTCTATCTACAGCCAATCTTGACGCGCCCTCGAGCGCGTCAAGGAATCTGACATTTTTTTGAAACCTGTCCTCTGGAAGTCACGGTAATTACACGGTTTTGTCCAGGAAAACAGGGTGAAAATTCGACGCCCGATTTTTGAGTAGGGGATGGACTCACCCTGAAATTTTTAATGTAGAAGTTCGCACCCTTAGAAAAAAAATGGCTCCCCTGTCATTGTCAGGAGTGGCACATTCCGCGCAGGGCGAAACTCATGCCTGCAAATACAGTCAAAAGTTTTAGAGCTACCCTGCTTGGAAGAGTTGGACCCCGGGCAAACTCGAAATATGCAGGGTGACCCCTAGGTTATTGAGGGACCTGCTTGAAACGCGAAGTTGATACACAGGTGGAGAGACTTGCGACGCTGCGACGTTTACTCAATCGCTGCATACGCCAGTCAAGCCGCCCATGCACAGGACACAAAAAACACCGCCCCATTTCCTGGAAAAACCCCATAGACCACGTTGCCCCTACCGTACGGCCCGTATTCGTTAAAAGCGAAATCTCTCGCGTCGCCCCCCGGGCTCTCAGGGCATATGACATGTACATGATCTTGGACTCAAGCTTATTTTAGAGTCTAGTCGCGAGGATGTGCATCCTTCCATGCCCAATGCTGATGGTCCATGCATAATCACGAATAGAATTCGTCGTGGGATCGTTAGGGCGATTACTAGCGGCGAGGCGAAAACCTCGACGCACGCGGCCCAGATCATCGAATCCCACCACGGCATTACGGTGCATCCTAGGACGGTGCGTAATGTGCTCAAATCTAGCGGCCTTGTCGCAATCCTGCATTCGAAGAAGCCGCGACTCTCGAAGAAAAATATGCGCGATAGGCTGGAGTTCGCACGAGCCCACGCTGATTGGACGGTTGAGGATTGGAAACGGGTGATTTGGTCGGATGAGATGAAGATCAATAGGTTCTGCTCTGATGGCCACGCGTACGCCTGGGTTCGTGAAGGTACGGCCCTCCAACACCACCAGATCAAGCAGACCGTCAAACACGGGGGCGGCTGCTTGATGATTTGGGGATGGATGACGTATGAGGGGGCGGGTTTCATCTGCAAAATCAATGGTAGGATGGACGGGCCGCTGTATCTGAGCATCTTGCAGGACGAGCTGAAGAACACGATCGACTTTTACGAGCTTTCCCCTACGGATGTGATCTTCCAGCATGATAACGACCCCAAGCACAAGTCCCGTGTGGTGCAGCAGTGGCTTCAAGAGCAGGAGTTTGGGGTGTTGGAGTGGCCTTCTTCAAGTCCCGATCTGAACCCAATTGAGCATCTCTGGGCTCATCTCAAGAGGGAGCTTACTAAGCACGAGAAGCCTCCCACAGGTATGGTGGACCTGTGGGAGCGTGTACAGGATGAATGGGAGAAGATCCCATCAGAGGTGTGCACCAATTTGATTGAGAGCATGCCCAGGAGGGTGAAGGCGGTGATAAAGGCGAAAGGGCGGTGGACCAGGTACTAGTTTTGGGATTGAGAAAGTTGCTGCCTGTGCCTGGCCATAATTGTCTGGATGTACCGTGATTGGTTATGTATGCTTCTCTCTGTTAACAATAGTAGTTTCATCAAATGTAGTGCATTGTCTTGTATCCTTAGACGGGTCTGCATACAACGGGTAAGGCCTCCAATTAAGGCTTAATGTACACATGCCCTTAATCAGCCTAAATCCAAAAAAGTGCAAAACATGCGGACAATACTTTCCGCCACTATAGTTTGGCTGCATGCGTGGATTGGTTGCCCATGTCAATGCTGCCTGAATAACTAATCATTGACGAAAACGTATGCACCAGCGGTGATGACCCAGCTTCCACGACCACACTCCGGCTCGACGTCGACGCGCATGCGCCGCGCTAGTTTCGGTCCGGATTCAGGAATCCAGGAAGCCAGCTGTGTGTGGCTGGCAAACTATTCGCGCCTCGCCATCGTTCCCTTTCCCCCCTGCGTCTTCTTCATATGTTTCTTCCCACGGTAGAAACAGCCACTACTTCAGCCTCTCCCAGCGTGACCTTCCCCTTGCAGTATCGTTGTTTTACAACCCTTCCGGCATGTGTCTCTACTCGTCGACGACCCTAGTGAGCCCCGTCCTCATGCATCACTCAGGCGACGTGGGATTGGATGACGATGGCGATGACAGCGCCAGTCACTGTGCCGAAGCCCGCACTGGGCTTGACATGCTCCATTCGATGCTAGGTAGTTTCCCAAAGGCTCCTCGTAACCCTCCGACGGAACCGAACCCATATGCGCCTCACAATCGGTCGCCTCAACTTCTCAAGTTGTTGTCGAGCTGACTTCCGCGCCTAGTCCGGGCCCATCAATGGCTGATGCTTTTACCAATACTCCATATTCCGCCACCCCCGTGAAGCCTGGCAGACAATACCGGCAAACCACCTAGTGGAATTTCCCAGACGGTCAGCCGACAACACCCCGCCCCACAGCCATGTGCGAAGACAGCGACTACGCCAGTGATAGCGACGACCCTACCGCTGCACCCGACAAGTCTCGATCGCCTGAGGATGTCTACGGCAAATCCTTCAACAGGTTTAAGACGCGGTGATCCGAGCGGTTTCCCTGGCTTATGATTGTTAAGACTGATGCTGGATTCCCTGCGTAATCTGGTCTCGTCGCCCCTCCCGTGCTCGTCCTGTCTCCCCTGTTCACCGCTCCCATCCTATTTTGCTCCGTTCCCACGCGTCTCATCCTCCCCTCCTCCCGTCGCCTCCTCCGTCCTCGCTTCTTGTTGCTCCGCCTCCTTTGTCTGACTTCCTTCGTGCCAGCCCCCTTGTTCCTCGGGTCCTTGCCTCTCTCGTTACCGACCCCTCTGTTCCTGTCTCGCCTCTTGACGCTCTTGTCGCTGCTGTTAGTGACTTCGCCTCTACCCACCGCCTTGACTATGCCACCGCTCTGGTCTCTGACTCTGTCCGTCCTCCGTCTATCGGGGGTGCTCCTACCCTTGGCAGTGAAATCCTAGAGGAAATACAGTACTCGCTTGCTTTCATGTCTGAGGCTGTTCCCCATCTCTGTTCCATGCTGCTAGTCCCTGAGGGTTACCCAGACGCCTTTGACATCCCGACCCCTCGCACTTACGCTGAGCCGACCCCGGGACCCCGGGTCTCTCAATGGATAGCTGCCATGGAGCAGGAGATGGCATCTTGGAGATCCACCATTACCTACATTGACGCAGTTCCCCTGCCTGGGGTGAACGTAGACGATGGTCGGTGGCTTTTCAAGATGAAGCGCCCCCCTGGAGAGCCGCCTGTATTCAAGGCGCGCTACGTGGCTAGAGGCTTCATTCAGCGCGAGGGGGTGGACATATTTCAGACCTTCGGTCCGACCCCGAAGATGACAACTCTTCGGGCGCTGCTACACGTAGCAGCACAGCGTGACTACGAACTGCACTTCCTCGACATCTCCACTGTGTTTCTTCGGGGCAGCCTACACGAACAGGTCTACCTGCGCCGTCCACAGAGCTTCGTCGGAACCTTTCTTTCTAGGACCCAGTGCCTCCTCCGGCGCCCGCTCTACGGTCTGCGAAAGGCACCCCGTGAGTGGCACGACACGCTGCGTGCTACGCTAGCTGACCTGCAGTTCTTTCCATCCTTTGTAGACCCCTCGCTCTTCGTTCGTGCCGCCCAGACTCCGTTCTACATCCTTGTCTACGTAGACGACCTGGTCTTTGCTACTGCAGACATAGACGCACTGGCCTTCGTTAAGGCCGAGCTGCTGAGGAGACACATCTGCAATGACCTAGGAGAGTTGCGCCGCTACCTTGGCCTACAGATCTCCAAGGACAGAGCAGCGCGCACCATCACTCTCATACAGTCACACTTGGTGCGCCAGGTCCTTCAGAGGTTCGGCCTTCAGTTCTCCTCCGCACAGCCCACACACTTGCCAGTACACCACAGGCTCTCAGCTCTAGTTCCTGAGGAGTCAGTAGAGTCCAGTGGCCTTTACGTAGAGCTGGTGGGTTGGCTCATGTACCTGATGACTTCCACTCTTCTTTGATCTTAGTTCGGGTGCCATGGCGGCACAGGAGCTCCGCTGGGTGACCTTCTTGCTCACCGACTTTGGTGAGCGGCCTAGCTCTGCCCCAGTTCTGAATGCTGACAACAGGGTCATGATCCTCCTGTGTGAGGAGCCTCGGCTTGAGGGCAGAGCGAAGCACATCCAGCTGCGGTACTTCCTCCTGCACGAGCTACAGCAGCGTTGTCAGGTCTGCGTAGTACACTTGGCCTCCGGTGCCAAGACAGCTGATATGTTCCCGTAGCTACTCATTTGCTAGGACCTTGATTGTGTACCTGTCTTTATATATATATACCTTTCAGACTGGCCTTGTGGTTTCGCTTCCAGTGGCTGGACTAGTAGTGCCGCCCTGGTTTGGTCTTTTCTTGTTTGTATTCTTGCTGACTAGTCTCCGAACCCTTTGCCTCAGAGGTTTGACTAGTAGTGTCACCCTGAGCTGCATGTTTCTTGCTCAGCACTGCCCCTTATCTAGCCTAGGGGGTGTGTCAACTTATACATATGTTTGTATGTAGAAATTATAGTCTAGATAGGTTTGTGTTCTTAGGGGGTACAACTTTAATACTATATCTCCCTTTTTCTAGTCATTTTGCAAACCCAACTGGGGTGAGGGGGGGGTTCACTATTCGTTCAAACGTTTGAACGTTGGAACTTCGAGTCTTGGAACTCGAAGTTCCGTCCGCGGACAGATTGCCTATTCGAGTTTCGAAACTGGCGCAAACAGAACTGGCGACAACGGTGACGGAACCCAGTTCCGGAATTGGGCCCACGAAACCGTAGGCTACACGCCCTAAGTCTCCCCATCAACCAAAGAGGCAGCATGGCAGGAAAGAGCGAAGGCCGTTCGCATTCTGCTACTGCTGAGCCGCCTACACGTTGCTTCGCATCGACCTCGACGGCCGCTGCAATTTCCTCCTCGAGCCGCGCGGCCGCGGCAGACTGCGCATCGTCAAAAGCTTTAGATGCCTTTTCCGCTACGGCGCGCAACCGCGCTGCTTCCTCCTCCTGGGTCTCCTTGGACGCGGGGGCGGCCCTACCAGCGTGGGCGGAATGAGCGGGGAGCACAAGGAAGAGCAGCGCCTGTGAAAGCAATCTTGCTCCGCTGGTCGCCATGGTTATCTCGACGGTAGTAGTACGGTCAGCGCTGCTGCTGTGCACGCAGATGTTCGAATTCGCCCTGCTGCCGCGCTCAGAACCCGGGATATGTGGGAAGGGAAGGAATGGAGGAAATTCTGTGTGGAATCGAATTGCTTTGCTGTGAAATGGTGATAAGGGGAAAGTTGCCTGATGCGTGGACGAGTTGGCTGATGCCGAGTTCGTGTGGTCATCGGGGGAGGATGGGGGGGGTGGAGAGAGGGGGGAGAAGCGGATCAGGCTCAGGCGCAGCTGGATTGAAGAGCACAGCAGGGAGGAGTGACGACCAACGCTTGAAATGTGTCCGTCCGACCACAACTGCTGTGTTTTCTCTGCGGGAAAGTCGAGTTCTTTCATCGTGTCCAACTTGGCGGACTTGCCTGACACTAGTTCGAGTTTGGGCTGATATTTATGAAGTTCCTGGTAAAGAGGGGAAGCTTTTTGCTGTACAGTTGCGATTGTGCACAAACTTTCGCGGAAACCATACCTCGCAAACTTTCTCGATTTTAGAGGTTCAAGGTGTTGTTGCCATCATTGCTATGCACCCTGGTCCTAGCCTGTCCTCCTCTCTCCCCCCCCCCCCCAACACACCGACGCCATGTCAGCGCGTTTCAAGCCAATGCCATGTTGCCCCAACGAGCGAATGGCGTCAGTGTGGAACGTCAGATGCATGTTCCACCACACATGAGCCATGAAACATCCGCACGCCGCGCCATTCCATACGACCTTGAGGGTGTGTACACTACTTTAGGATATCTAATGAACGGTAGCACAATGTTTCCCTCATTCCCGTATGAGCTAGTATCTGAAGAAACAGCAAGCCTAAATCAAGACCAACGCTCATGAAACTAGCCATCTCGTGTGATATATTATTGAGGGCCAATCACAAGTACTATTGCATGATGCTTCCTAACCTATACAAGCACCAACACAGCGTACTCCACCCCTCATCCTCCCCATCAGCATGCGATGCTAGGAGCTACAACACCAGGCTGGCAAGCAGAATAAGGCGCCAGTTGCAGAGGAGGTGCTAAGTGTTTCTCCTAGCAGGACAAAGGCCAGGAGACTGCCCCAGAGAGGGCTCATGGTGAGAATGAGTGTGGCCATGGGGACGCACGAACAAACCAAAATGCACATGCCTGCAGATCCATTCACAGCACCAAGATCTCACCCCATCAACCCAAGAGCCAGCTCGGCAGGAAAGACCTGGGGTGGTTTGCATTCTGCTGCTGCTGAGCCGCCTGCACAGCCGCACCCAGCGAAGGCATCACCCCCGGGCCCGTCTGTGCGGGCTGCGCGGCCTGCGCCGCACTCGACTGCTGCCCGAACCTCCCTCCCCTTCCATGGTGCCCGTCGTCCCTACCCCCTCGTCCGCCCTCTCCCCGCCCGTTCCCCCCATCATGCCCCCCGCGCCCACCATGCCCCCCATGCTCCTCCTCATAATCGTCCTCATAATCGTCACCGTCGTCACCGTGATGGTCATCATGGTGGTCGTCGTAGTCATCATCGCCATATCCGCCATAGTCGCCGCCGCCGCCAGGGGGAGATGGATCCGAGCCAGGCGCAGGATCCGACCCCTGCGCGGGCGTCTGCGACGCCTCCCACTCCTGCTCCGCCTCCATTGCCAGATCTTCCGCTGCCTGCGCCGCCGCGGACGCCTTCTCCGCGGCTTTCTCCGCGGCCACGCGGAGAGCTTGCAACTTGGCGCGCTTCACCTTCGCGCGGGTGACCTTCTCCGCGGCCGTCTTCACTCCCTGCTCCGCCGCCTTCGCCTGCACCTCCGCCGCCCGAGCGTCGGCTTCCGCCTGAACCGCCGAGGATTCCGCCGCGTTTGCCGCGTCGAGCGTCGCCTGGTCCTGCGGGGTTAGCGTGGCGGCAGCGAGTGCGGTGCGCGCCTTAGTTAGCGCAGCAGACGCCTTGGCCTCTTCCTTGTTGGCGGCTTCGACGTTCTTTTTCAGCTCCGCGGCTTTCTTTTGCTCTTTCGATGCCTTCTGACCCGCGGCGCTCCGCGCGCCTGAGCCCACAGCGGCGGCGGATGCACTGCTCGCGACGCTCTGCTGCGCGGCGGCGGCGGCCTCCGCGTTCTGGCGCTTCTTCTTCACTTCGGCGAGGGCTTTCTCTGAGTTCTTAACGTTGCTTTGCGCGGCAGTGTATGACTCTGCCTTCTTCTTTATCGGAGCGACGTTCGCCTTGGCGGTGTTTGCGTTCCTTCGCGAATTCGTGGCGACTTGTTTCTTCGTGTCCGACGCCTTCTTCGCTGCGTTCCACGCTTTCGCCGCGTCCTGCGCCGCCGATTCCGCTGCCGCGGCCTCCGCGGCCGCCGCCTGTTCCAACTGGAGCCGCGCGGCTGCGGCTGTCTGCGCGGCGTCCAAAGCGGCTGCGGCTTTGTCCGCTGCTGCGCGCAACCGCGCGGCTTTTTCCGCCAGGGTCTCTTTGGACGCAGCGGCCGCGGGCCTGCCAGCATGCGCGGAGTGAGAGGAAAGCGCGAGGAGGAGCAGGGCCAGGGCAAGGAATCTAACTCCGCTGGCCGCCATGGTGCGAGCGCGACTATCAGCTGCACTGCTGATGTGCTCGAAGGCGTTCGATGTTGTTCTGCTTCGCTCAGTGCCCAAGATGTGGGGTGGGAGCTGGAAGGAATGCGGCTCTGCTCTGATCAGAATCAGGGCAGAGTTGGCTTATTTAAGGGTTAGATTTGTCCCGAAGAGATAGCTGGATGGGTTGTTTTCGCTTGGTTTGGGTCCGGTTTGGTTGAGTTGTGCATGGATTGGGGAAAGAAGGGGAGGTTGGGACGGGGGGGATCGAGCAGCAGCAGCAGAGCCCTTGCAGGGAGCCGACAGGGGAGACACGACACGGAAATTGAGCCCTCGGCGAATACCAACCACAATCAAGGCTGTTTTTTTCTCCACTGGCAGGTTGAGTTTTATTGCCGAGCAGCTGACCTATTCCAAGTTCCAACCCAGCTCACCTTTGGCCTTCCTTGTGTGGCAGCTTGGGTTGAAAGAATTTCCTATGCAGAGGGGAAGCAAGCTCTGAACATCCTGGGGTGAGTACTGTACCTCTGTGTCGAGGCGAGACAGCCCCACAGAGTTTCTAAGGTTTTCTTGCACGGTGTGTTGCGGGAATTACCAGAAACACTCAAATTATGCCAGGCTGTGTTCATCTGTACTCAAGCCAATCACAGGGTTTCCTTACGCTGCCCGAAACGAGCTTAGGGTTGATGCCTCGCGAAGTAAAACCAGGTTCCCTCTGGGGTATATGTTTTTTGGGCTGATTGGCTTGAGTACAGATGAACACGGCTCCTGGCATAATTTGAGTGTTGGTGAAGTTGTTGAAATCAGAGATTCCTTGCCGGTCCCATGTTGAAATAAGAGATTCTGATTGTGGTGACCGACTTATCGCATCGCGGCACGGCTGCAGCCTGGTTGACAAGTTGACATTCCACCTTGCTCGGGATTGGACCGCGACAGCCACCCCACTGCTGGCACGCGCACTATAGATTTTCAGTCAGCGGGTTTCAAAGCAACCGCCATGTTGCGCAACAACCGAATGCTGGCATGTGCCTGTCAATGTCAGCCGAGCAGGGATTCGGAAACCACATGCTCCACACGAGGCAAGGCTGAAGCCACAGAAGCACTACAAAAGATGTTTGCAAGTGAGTGTTGCAGTCGAATCGTACACGTGGAGGATATGGTGCCCTGGGACATGATGATGTGGAAATCCGCGTTTGGAGCGGAGACAAACGTGACGATCATTGTGTATGTGCAATACTTAAAGTACACAAATTTTACCCTTCAATTTTGTACATTAATAAAGGTGCACATTCCAAAGGCCCCATGAGCTCTTTTACTCATTCCAGTGTAGTGTCGGCCATAATACCACTTCGCAATGATCATGGCTAAGCATCTCTTCGAAGCATCCGCAAAGCAAAAACAATAATAACATGCAAACAAAACTAAGCCACGTTTCGTAGCACGAGCTTTTGAACCCCCCCCCATCACCACCGTTTGCCAAAACCCAGCCAACACACCCCTACCTTCCTCCACGCTTCCCTCATACCTAACCTTCTCCATACCCTCCCCCTCATCTTGCCCATTTGCATGCGGCGCCAAGAGCTGTACCTCCAGGCTGGCAAGCAGGACAAGCATGGCGCCAGTGGCAGCGGCGATGCTAAGTGTTTCTCCCAGCAGGAAAAATGCCATGGCGACTGCCCCAGACGGGGCTCATGGTGAGAATGAGCGAGCATTGAAGGCCTAGGGCTGCACAAACATTCACAGTCATGATTAACCGAAGAGCCAACTTGGCAGGAAAGACCGGGGGCTGTTCGCATTCTGCTGCTGCTGAGCTGCCTGCACAGCCGCACCCAGCGAAGGCATCCCCCCTGGGGCAGCCTGCGCGGATTGCGTGGACTGCACAGCAAGGGACTGCTTCCCGAACCTCCCCCCCTTCCCATACCCGTTCCCATTTCCCTTCTGCCCTTCGCCCTTATCCCCTCGCCCGCCCACACCCCACCCGTTCCCCCCGTTCCCCCCGTGTCCCCCATGCTCCGCCTCATAGTCACCACCGTCATCACCACTGTCGTCGTTAGGACCGTCGCTGCCGTCATTAGGATCGTCGCCGCCGTCGCCACCGTTATCACCATCGCCACTGTTACCACCATCGCCAGGCCCGGGGGGGGAAGGGTCCGAGCCAGGCGCGGGATCCGACCCCTGCGCGGGCGTCTGCGTCGCTTCCCACTCCTGCTCCGCCTCCATCGCCAGACCTTCCGCCGCCTGTGCCTCCGCGGACGCCTTCTCGGCCACCTTCTCCGCGGCCAGGCGGAGGGTTTGCGCCTTGGCGCGCTTGTCCTTTGCGCGGGTGACCTTCTCCGCGGCCGTCTTCACGCCCTGCTCCGCCGCCTTCACCTGCGCCTCCGCCGCCTTCGCGTCGGCTTCCGCCTGAACCGCCGAGGCTTCCGCCGCGTTTGCGCCGTCCAGCGTCGCTTGCTCCTGCGCGGTCAGCGTGGCGGCAGCGAGGGCGCTCCTAGCCTTAGTCACCGCAGCGGACGCCTTGGTCTCTTCCTTCGTCGCGGCATCGACGTTCTTTTTCAGCTCCGCGGCTTTCTTCTGCTCTTTCGCCGCCTTCTGTCCCGCGGCGCTGCGCGCGCTTAAGCCGGCGGCGGCGGCGGATGCGCCGCTGGCGACGTTCTGCTGCGCGGCGGCGGCGGCCTCCGCGTTCTGGCGCTTCGTTTTCGCGTCCGCCAGGGCTTTCTCAGAGGCCTTGACATTGTTCTGCGCGGCGTTGTAGGAATCAACCTTCTTCTTAATCGGAGCGAGGCTCGCCTTAGCGGTATTCGCGCTCTTTCTTGAGCTGGTTGCGGCTTGCTTCTTCGTGCCCGACGCCTTTTTCGCCGCATTCCACGCCACCGCCGCGTCTTGCGCCGCTGATTGCGCTGCATCGACCTCCGCAGCCGCTTCCTGCTCCGCCTGGAGCCGCGCGGCCGCGGCTGACTGCGCGGCGTCCAACGCGGCTGCGGACTTGTCCGCTGCTGCGCGCAGCCGCGCGGCTTTCTCCGCCAGGGTTTCTTTTGGCGCGGGGGCGGCCGGCCTGCCAGCCGCGTGCGCCGTTAATTGCGCAGAGAGTGCGAGGAGAAGGAGGGCCAGGGGAAGTAATCTGGAACCGCGGGTCGTCATGGTAAACGGAGATTCGCTATCAGAGACAAACCGTATCTGGTGACTAAGCTGCTGTCAGTGTGCTATAGGGTGAGGTGAAGAAACGAAGGTGATGAGTCTTTTCGAAGCTGGGCTGCGTTATGCTTTTGGCTGGGGAAAATACAACTGGTGAGCTGAGAGGGCGAGAGAGGAAGGAGATGGGTAGCAGGAGGCGAGGCGAGCGAGGGAGGGAATGAGGGAATGGGGTGGGGGCTTGGCTCGCATTTCCTTCCACCAACCAGGTGGGGGCGAGCGGGGGATGGGTGGGTGTCGTCGAATGTCGATTTCTTTGGAGCGGCGCGAGACCCAAATTGACAACATCGGGTGTTGGTTTTGGGTGTGGCGGCTGCCCTGCTGGCTCTGCTATGCTCCCCCCTCAGTTTGTCAAATCTTTTGGGGGTGTTTCGTCTCAAACGGAGGAATCCAAGCCAACCCAGATACACCGAACCCAAACCAAGCCAACCCAGACACCAAGGCCTGCAAACTCTGTACACCCAAGTATTCAATATAAATTGCACATATTAGAGATGCATGTTTTGTTCCAACCACCCCAAGTTTTGGGTAGATTTGTAATGTCGCAGGGAGGCCGAGTCCAGGGCTTATGCTAACAAGGTAGATGCCCGTTTTTCAATGCCGACTCCCTTGCCCCTCTCCCCGTCGTTACTCCTGCGTATTCATAAAGAATACCATATTTCCAGCCTCGAATCTGCCTCAAGAGACAAAGTTTTTCTCGGTTTGCGGTAATTGGAGGCCTTCCTTCCTGGCTCCTCTACTGCCTCAGTGGTCGTTCATTTTCTGTAAGCCAAGGGCAGTTTGCCCGAACCCTACGAGTGGTTTTTGTTGTGCAAGCTATTATTGCTAAGGGAAAATATTTTCTGAGCCGTTAATTTAAGGGTAACTTTTGAAGGCCGCTTTTTTTGTCAGAGCTCACCAAAAACATAACGTAAGCCCTGGCCGAGTCTCGACGAACGTGGGTTTCTCAGGCAACTGACTGTATATCGCTACAATCATTCCGCAGGTCAAACAATCTCTACCGCCCAAATGAAAACGACGATAAAAATAATACACGGGTGTATTGTGCGTATCGGCTTTGACCTGTTGAGAACTTGACAGCTTATCTGTCCTCGATACGATACCGACAGCCAGGCTCCAAAACACATGTGCCAGTTCCCACTGCCTAGCTGGGCAGTCTAATCTTTTCGATTCCACCGTGACACCGTCACGTTCGCCAACGAGGGAGCAGTGGCAGAGGGGGTGGTCCAACTGTTCACGCGGTGCACAAAAAAACGCAGCACTCCCAAAAAACACGCAACCAACCATGCAGGCCTGTGGCCCGTAATGAGTACGCCACGTCGAGAGTATGCCTGGCTGGAACCCACCAGGTCATGAATCATGATGGACCACTTGGCCATTCTCGTTTGTAACAGAGCAAGCGTGTGCAATGTCATCAAGGTTTAGTGGCTTCGTTTTATGTAAATGTTGAACAGTCGCCTTCCTCAAGTCTGCCAATAAGCATCGTCCCTCAATTAGGTGGGGGCAATTAGTCCTTCAAACAAGCTGAATGCACTGTGAATGCGACAGCAAAAATGGTCTCTCTGGGAATTATATTGGAAGCGACAAACTTTAGAAGCATCAGGGTCTCGTCTCGTTGCAGGGAATGAGTTACCATGAATCGAGGATACACCTGTAAACGTAGAAACGAATAATTACTAGAGGTGGAAACCTAGAACAAATACTAGTTGGTTGTACTCACTAGAAGCATACCTCAGTCTAGCCTATAACTTCTACATAGATAATATGTATAAGTTGACACACCCCCTAGGCTAGACAAGGGGTGAAACTAAACAAGAAGCAAACAGCTCAGGGCGGCACTACTAGTCCAACCACTGAGGCAGGGGTCTGGAGACCAGTCAGCAAGAATACAACCAAAACTGAAGCAAGCCAGGGTGGCACTACTAGTCCAGCCACTGGAGGTAAGGCCACAAGGCCAGTCTGACAAGCATATATAATAGAGAGTACACAATCAGGATCCTAACAGGGGAGCAGCTATAGGAACAAGACCAAGCTGTACACAGTGCCGCTGATGATCTTTAGGCGCAAGCGCCTTAGTAAAGATATCAGCTGTGTTGGCACCTGAGGCCAAGTGAACTACGCGGGCCTGGCGGCGCTGCTGTAGCTCGCGCAGGAGGAAGTACCGCAGCTGGATATGCTTCGCTCTGCCCTCAAGCCGAGGCTCCTGACACAGGAGTATCATGGCCCTGTTGTCAGCGTACAGGACCGGGGCAGAGCTAGGCCGCTCACCTAAGTCTGTGAGCAAGAAGGTCAGCCAGCGGAGCTCCTGTGCCGCCATGGCACCAGCGTAGATCTCAGCCTCACAGCTAGACTGAGCCACAGACGACGAGCGAGTGGATCTCCAAGAGATAGCACCCGAACCAAGGCTAAAACAGTAGCCCTGCGACGACCTGAGCGTCTCAGCGTCGTCTGCCCAAGAAGCGTCTGTGTGCCCAGTAAGGACCACTGGCCTGCGTCCTCCTAGCACTAACCCCATGCCTGATGTACTAGCAAGATAACGCAAAACCCTCTTAGCGGCAGACCAGTGCTGAGGTCGGTGTCTGCCTGTAGCCACAAAGCGAGCCAGGATGCTGAGAGGGTATGCGAGACCTGGGCGAGTGCAAGTCATCAGGTACATGAGGCAACCCACCAGCTCTGCGTAGGGGCCACTGGGCTCTACTGGCTCCTCAGGAACGGGAGCAGAGAGCCCATGGTCTACGGGTAGAGGTGTGGGCTGTGCGGAGGAGAACTGAAGACCGAACCTCTGAAGGACCTGACGCACCAAGTGTGACTGGGTCAGAGTGATGGTGCGTGCTGCTCTGTCCCTAGAGATCTGCAGGCCAAGATAGCGACGCAGCTCTCCAAGGTCAGTGCAGGTGTGTCTCTTCAGCAGCTCAGCCTTCACAGAGGCCAGTGCGTCCCTGTCAGGAGTAGCGAAGACCAGGTCGTCTACGTAGACAAGGATGTAGAACGGAGTCTGGCCGGAACGCACAAACAGTGAAGGGTCAGCAGAGGACGGAAAGAACTGCAGGTCTGCTAACGTGGCACGTAGCGTGTCGTGCCACTCGCGGGGAGCCTGACGCAGGCCGTAGACCGGGCGCCTGAGAAGCCACTGGGTCCCAGGAGGGAAGGTACCAGTGAAGCCCTGTGGTCGGCGCAGGTAGACCTGCTCGTGTAGGCTGCCCTGAAGAAAGGCAGTAGAGAAGTCGAGAGAGTGAAGCTCGTAGTCACGCTGTGCTGCTACGTGTAGCAGCGCCCGAAGAGTGGTCATCTTCGGGGTCGGGGCGAAGGTCTGGAAGAAGTCAACTCCCTCGCGCTGACTGAAACCTCTGGCCACGTAGCGCGCCTTGAAGACAGGCGGCTCTCCAGGGGGGCGCTTCACCTTGAAGAGCCACCGACCATCGACTACGTTCACCCCAGGCGGGGGAACTGCGTCGACGTAAGTGCCGGTGGATCTCCAAGATGCCATCTCCTGCTCCATGGCAGCTATCCACTGAGAGGCCCAAGGTCCCGAGGTGGCCTCAGCGTAGGTGCGAGGGGTCGGGATGTCGAAGGCGTCTGGGTCACCCTCAGGGACTAACAGCATGGAGCAGAGATGGGGAGCAGCCTCGGAAAGGAAAGCCAGCTCGTACTGCCTGTCCTCTAGGACGTCACTGCCAAGGGCAGGAGCACCCCCGACGGACAGAGGACGGGCAGGGTCAGAGACCAGAGCGGTAGCGTAGTCAAGGCGGCGGGTAGAAGCGAAGTCAGCGACAGCAGCGACAAGCGCGTCAAGGCGCGAGACAGGAACAGCAGGGTCGGTAACAAGAGAGGCAAGGACCCGAGGGACAAGGGGACGAGCAGCACGGAGGTAGTCAGAGAACGGAGGAGGTGCAACAGCAAGGGACGAGGGAGGAGGGGACGGGAGGAGGGGAGGACGAGACGAGTGGGAACGGAGCAACATAGGGTGGGTGGGCAGGACAGGAGAGACGGGACGAGCACGGGAGGGACGGCGAGCCGAAACGTGAGACGGAGGGGTAGGGTCAGGGGACAGCGGAGGAGACACAGGAGGGGAACGAGGAGGAAGACGGGCCGGAGACGAGTCTGGCGGCGGGAACACAGGACCGTAGACAGGGAGGTCAGGAGGCGGTGGGGGAGACACCGGCGCGCGGTCCGGGGAGGGAAGGCCGAGCAGGCGGAGAGCGGAAACCGGCGGCGACGGCTGCTGTGGCGGCGACGACGGCTGGGCCGGAACTCTGGGACCAGCAGAGGCAGAACGACCGTCGGCAGAACACTCAACAGCAGCACCCCCAGAACCAACACCCCAAGAGCGAGAACCCCCTCCAACACCAGCGGCACCCCCAGAAGCCGCAGGACGAACACCCTCCTCCACACCAGCACCCCCAGGGGCCGAGAGCAACGGCGGCAGTGGCGGCGACAGCGGCGACGGCTGCGGCGGCGACGGCGACGGCGGCGGCAGCGGGGTCGGCGACTGCGACAGTGGGGGCGGAGGCACTGGGGAAGGGGGACGCGGCAAGGACGGACCGGGGGTACCACCAGAGTCAGCAGACTCCTCAACGGGGACAACCGACGGGAGGGGAGTGACGTGGGAGACACCAGACGGGGCAGGACGAGGCGGGAGAGGGGCAGGGGCTACCGGGGGAGAGGGAGCAAGGAAAAGGGGGGGGGCAACTGGGAGACCTCGGTGAGGGAAGCGGCGGTAGAAGGAGACGGACTCGTCAAAGGTGACGTCACGAGAGTGGAGGAAGCGGTGAGACGGCGGGTGGTAGAAAAGCCAGTCAGACGAGTCCAGGGGGAAACCGAGGAAGACACAGGGGACAGTGCGGGCAGTGAGCTTGTCCGTGCCAGAGGCACGAACGTGAGCAAGGCAGCCCCAGACGTGGAACGCAGACGCGTCACCGGGGGACCCGGTCCAAAGGAGGGTCGGCGAAACCTGCGGCCGCTGGGAGCGTGGCCACAGGTTAAGCTGGTGAGCCGCGTAGCGAACAGCGAACGGCCACAGAAAATGGGGGGCATCGGCATGGATCATGGAGGTACGGGCGACCTCCATGACCAAGCCGATGCGGCGCTCAGCAACCCCATTCTGCTGTGGCGAGTCCGGCAACGTGTACGACTGGGTGATGCCCTCCGCACGACAGAACTGTCCAAGCCGACCAGAGGCGAACTCGCCGCCACGGTCGGAGTGGAGACACAACACGGGGAGACCGCGGTGGAGACGCGCAGCTACAACCCACGGGAGAAGAACGTCGGGCACGTCGGCCTTCCGCTCCAGGGGAAACACCGTGGTGTAGCGCGTGTAGTCGTCAACGAGCACAAGGAAGTAGCGCTCACCGCGCGGTCCGGGGACGGGGGCAGGGCCCCAAACGTCCAAGTGCAGGGTCTGAAGGGGGGCAGTAGCAGGACGCAGCGAGGAGGAGTGAGGAGCACGGCGGAGCCGACCCTCGACGCAAGGCGTGCACGGTGGCGCAGTCGAGGGAGGAAGGGCAGGGAGCGACGCGGGGAGACCTAAGACAAGACCGTGCTGGGACATGTGACGCAGACGCGGGAGAGCAGGGTGACCTAAGCGGTGGTGCCAGAGAAGGGAGGGGTGAGTGAGGGACCGACACGAGCAAGCTGCAGCGACCTGGGAGGACGCACCAACCGGGGGGGAAGCGGTGTGTAGGGTAAACAGACCGGACACCGGGTCCCGGGGGAACGTCGCAAGGGGGGAACCTGAGACAGCCTCAGAACAGACAGCGAACCGCTCGTGCCCGGGGAACGTGGTGGTGACGCCGAGGTCCTGGAGACAGCCGACACCAACCAGGTTCCTGGAGAACGAGGGAACGTGGAGGCCAGTAAGGGAGCCCGAGGGAACTGCCGGACAGGGAAGGGACGTAGAACTGCGCGCGACGACCGGACCCGCAGAGGGGTCAGCGAGAGAGACAACAGCAGGTGCAGCAAGCGGCGTGAGCGTGGAACGGTCGCGGAAGAAGCAGGCAGAAGCACCAGAGTCGAGAGTGAAGGACAGCGACGCAGTGGCGGAGGCCGCGGACGGAGCCGGTGCAGCGACTAGACTAGGCAACCTAGGCAGTCCTACGCCTGTCGCAGCAGGGGAAGCTAAGCTACACAAGGGTGAAACACCTAAACTAGAGTACACATGGTAGTAAGATCCATCAACACTAGAAGCGTCAGCATACAAAGCATGCAAAGCAGCACCTATCTGATCCATGTCTAACTCAAAGATCGGCACGCCCTGGCGGAGCAGGCTGTGCCAGTCAGGGAGGTCCGGGGCCGGGCCAAAGCGACGACGAAAAAGATCGTCGAGGCGGCGGAAACAGTGGGCGGTCGGGTGCGGGCGGCGGCACAGAGTGCCGCGGAGAGGCCCGGTCTGAAGCTGGTACTGGCAGGTCACAGCACTGGAGCCGCTGGTAGACGCCAAGCTGCGCGGGCCGCCACCACGGCCACCGCCTCCGGAGGTGCCGGGCCAACCAGGCGGGAGACGAGCCCACGGCTGCGGCGGGTGCTGCTGGGACGGCGGCTGCGGCTGGGGCTGGTCCTGCTGCTGCTGGGACTGCTGCTCCTGCCCACCGGTGGTAGTCCCCTCAGGCGGACTACCGTCACCACCACCACGACCACTACCACCTGCGTCACCACCCCTACCTCCCTGGCGGCCACGGCCACCGCGACGCGAGCGCTGCTGCGGGTGGACAGCAGCAGCCGTCTCGGTAAGAGGGGTCGCCGTGGCGACCGCAGCCGAAACGTCAGTGAACGTGCACGGGGATGGGGCACAACCGTGAAAGATAGAGACTGCCGGCGCACCGCTCGACTGAGCGATAGTGCGCTGGCGAGTCTCGATCTCAGTGAGGGTGTCGACAAAGGCGGTCAGGGTGAGGTCACCCGGGTGCTGGCTAAGAAAGTGGTCGCGAGCACTAGCGAGGCGGTCTGGCAGGCGCATAGCGATAAAATAGAGCGTCATGCAGAAAGGAGGGGGGAGCGCAGTGAGCTGGGCAGCAGTGCTGGCAGTGCGATAGCGAGTCTCTAGGGCACGCAAATGAGTGGCAAAATCTGCGACAGTAGGGAAGGCAGCCAGGTCTGGGAACAGCATCGGAAAGAGCAAGCGGCCAGCAGAAGCGGAGGCAGGGGTGGAATAGCGAGCAATAACGGCTTCTAAATAAGCTTTGGCCGTTTCAACAGTAGCAAAACGCGAGCGCTCAGACACAGGGAGGGCGTGACTAATAGCAACCTGAGCTACTGCATCGCGTGAGTCCTAGACCGCACAGGCTAGCGCAGCAGTAGAGAAAGCCTCACGGTCATCAGAGGAGGGGTCAGCAGGGAGGGGAGTAGGTGCAGGGGGACGGGGGAGCAAGCCATCAGCATGGACAACCAGAGAGTGGCCATCCTGGCGCTGACCTGTAAGCTGGCGGCGAAGATCGGAGAGCCAGGCGGCGAAGTCAACCGCGTGGCCCTCAGCGTCCAGGCGGAGCACAAAGTCAGCCATCGTGCAGGGTCAGCGGCACAGCTCCTCAGCGACACAGCGGCACAGCAGCACAGCTCCTCAGCGGCACAGGAGCACAGCGGCGCGGGGACACGGCGGCAGCACTCTCCAGTAGGGCAGCAGCTAGGCGTCCCAGCGCAGGCAAGCAGAAGACACAGGGCCCGAGAGGACACGGCAGGCCGAGCAGGGGAGGCGGGCAGGTGCTCTAGGGCCGGGCTGGTGCTGGGAGGGGCCAGGCTGGTGCTGCTGGGGCCGGTCGGGCACGAGGAGGGGCCGGGCAGCGCTGAGGAGAGGCCGGGCGGCGCTAGGAAGGGGCCGGGCGGCACTAGGAGGAGGCCGGGCGGCACTAGGAGGAGGCCGGGCGGCACTAGGAGGAGGCCGAGCGGCACTAGGAGGAGGCCAGGCGGGCGAGCGCTAACAGCAGGCGCGACAGGGGCCAGCGGGCGCGACGGGGCCTAAGGGGCGCGACGGGGCCCAGCGGGCACGACGGGGCCCAGGGGGGGCGCGACGGGGCCGAGGAGTCGCGACGGGGACCAGCGGGCACGACGGGGCCCAGGGGGGCCGCGACGGGGCCTAACGGGCGCGACGGGGCCCAGGGGGGGCGCGACGGGGCCTAGCAGGCGCGACGGGGCCTAGGAAGCGCGAAGGGGCCCAGCGGGCGCGACGGGGCCTAGGAGGGGCGCGACGGGGCCGAACGGGCGCGACGGGGCCCAGAGGGGGGGGACGCGACGGGGCTTAGGAGGCGCGACGATGCCTAGGAGGCACGACGGGGCTCAGCGGGCTCGACGGGGCCCATGGGGGGGCGCGACGGGGCCTAGGAGGCGCAACGGGGCCCAGCGGGGGCGCGTTAGGGCCTAGGGGTCGCGACGGGACCCAGTGGGCACGACGGGGCCCAGGGGGGGCGCGACGGGGCCTAACGAGCGCGACGGGGCCCAGGGGGGGCGCGACGGGGCCTAGGGGGCGCGACGGGGCCTAGGAGGCGCGACGGGCGGAAGCGGTAGGCGGGGGGATCCTAACCTAAGCATGATACCATGTAAACGTAGAAACGAATAATTACTAGAGGTGGAAACCTAGAACAAATACTAGTTGGTTGTACTCACTAGAAGCATACCTCAGTCTAGCCTATAACTTCTACATAGATAATATGTATAAGTTGACAACACCTCCCATGACCAACTCTCCCATCTCCACCCCTCCATCACCACCTTTTGCCAAATCCCAACCACCCACCCTTCCCTTCTTTCACAAATTGCTCATATCCCTCCGCTCCCTCCTCATCCTCCCCATCAGCATGTGGCGCTAAGAGCTGTACCTCCAGGCTGGCAAGCAAAATGAGAATGGCGCCAGTGGCAGTGGAGGTGCTAAGTGTTTCTCCTAGCAAAAAGAATGCCAGGAGGCTGCCCCAGAGGGGGCTCATGGTGAGAATGAGCGTGGCCGTCGATGCTCGAACAAACCGAAGCGCCTCCATCTCAAGCCACTCGCACATGCCTGCAGATAGTTACAGCCATGGTGGGGGGGGAGGGGGGAAGTAGGTGGAAGGGGCAGAGGGGAGGGAAAAAATATGGGGAGAAAGGGAATGGCAAGAAGGCTGGATGAGAAAGGAACGCAGGGGCAACAGGGTTCGACACACTCCACGCTCTAGAAGCCAGGACCAACGACGTCACACCTGTCCCCTCTACCTGTGCCAAACGGCCCTGCCAGCAGCGCCATGCCGATGGGGGCGGCTGCAGCAACCGCAACCAGCTGGTTCCACGCCACCACTGCGCCACTGCTGTCCATCCCCCCCACCGCGCCCCCCCCTGCAGTGAAGGCAATGGCGGCGAGGGAGAGAAGCACCCACACCACCCCAATGGCTGCCGTGGTGGCCAGCTGAAGGATAACGAGGATGAGCGGATCGAAGCGCGCGCACAGGACCTCAGATCGCACCTGGTGTAGGGAGGGGGATGGGAAGGGTTGGAACAGGAACGGGGGGAGAGAAATGAGATGGCAGGGCAGGAGAGAAGCACCCACACCACTGCGATGGCTGCCGTGCTGGCGAGCTGGAGAATCACGAGGATGAGCGGGTCGAAGCGGGCACACAGGACCTCAGATTGCACCTGGTGTACGGGAAGGGTTTGGAAAAGCAATGAGATAGCAGCGCGGGAGAGAAGCACCCACACCACTGCGATGGCTGCAGTAGTGGCCAGGTGAAAAATTTCGACGATGAGCGGATTGAAGGAATGGCAGAGCGCACAGCGCAAACTAGGCACCACACGTGCCTCTCAGGCAGGCTCCTCCAATGCCCCGGTACTGATTGATGGTGGACTGACCCCATGGATGTACGCCACATGCACTGATGCATGTTGGATGCACACCACACTACTCGAATGCCCCACTCACCACTTGGTTTGCAGAGCCCACGGCCCCAACGAGGCACCACACGTGCCCCACCGGCAGGCTCCACTGCACCGGCACCAGTGCATGGCGGACTATATGTATGTTGCATGCATTGCGATGCAATAATAGAAGGTTCACCCACCACATGAATTGCAGAGCCCACAGCGCCTACGAGGCACCACACGTGGCCCACAGGCAGGCTCCACTGCACCGGCACCGACGCCAGCACTGCTGCTGCCGTGTCTGCAATGACGTCAGCGGATGCTGATGCTGTGGTGGCGATGACGTCACCAGGCGTGGCTGCTACTGCGACAGCAGTAATGGTCTCCCCCCCCTCCAGCAACACCATGCCTGTGCATGTGGGTGTGGGTGTGGGTGTGGGTGTGGGTGTGGGTGTGGGTGTGGTGCATGCACAGGGTCGCTTGGACACGAGATTAATGAGTGAAACATACAGTGGTAATTCGTTCAGTGACTCGGTGACTCAAAAGCTGTTGCAACAGCAGCGATGGTCTCTCCCCCCTCGAGTAACACCATGCATGTGCATGGAGACACAGGAAGATGGCTAATAAAGAGATATGACTCAGTATCAGAGGAGATATATTGGCAGGGCAAAACTTGCAGACTACCCTGTTGACTGCTACAGTCATTCCAGTTTTGACGGCCCATCCACCACCACTTTTGCCAACAACCAGGAGGGATGGGATGCGGAGTAAGAGGGATGGGTGTGATGCGGTGAGAGGGGGTGGGCGTGATGTAGCGAGATGGATATGGGTGTGATGCGGTACATATGGGTGCAAGCGATGTGAAGGGAATGGGTGTCAGATGTGATAAGCATGGATGCACTGGGACAGGGGCCGAAAAGGAGAGTGCACTGGCGCATCCACGTGGCAGAGAGGCAAGGCAACAAAAGAATTCGGAGGAAGAAAATCGAGGGAGAAGGTGGGGGGAGAGCGTACCAGTGCACGCCAGGAGCGTGGCGATCCACACGCTGCGGTTGATGGGCGTGCCTGAGAGGGCCTCCAGGAACGGCACCAGCACCACCTGGAGTGCAGAGGGGCATAAAGGGGTGCAGTGGGGCATGAAGGGGTTGCACGCACATGATCAGAGAGAGAGAGATGCGCTGCACACTTAGATCCACAAGCTGCAGTTGATGGGCGTGCGTGAGAGGGCCTCTGGAAACGGCACCAGCACCACCTGGGGTGTCAGTGAGTCACACACGCATGACGCCACTGATCACACACAGTTCATTCCAGCACACGCCACACAATCCGAGACGAGCAAGCGCATCACGTGGCTGGTAGGCAATCAGGCCAGGGAAAAAGGGCAAACATGGCGCAGCGGGGAAGAGGAGCTGACAAAGGGTGCAGGGGGGAGAGGAGAGGAGGAGGATGGGGGTATTGGAGGGGGAAAAAGGGGGGAGAGGGGAGGGGGGCCGCTTATATCGTACCGAGATGGTGAGGATGAGGGCGGCATCGTCAGCGGAGGTGGTCTCCAGTCCGATGGCCTGCCCCGCGTACGTCACGAACATCCACGCGCCCAGCTCCACGCCCCCCACCACCATCGCCCACCGCTCCCGCCGCTCCCTCTTGCTGCCCCCGACCATCGACTCCCACAGCCCAGCCAGCCCCTCCTTCGCCTCCTGCTTCTTCCGTTTCAATTTTCCTTCCTCCGGCTGTGGGTCCGTTTTCCCCTGGCCGTTGCTGCCCCTACTGCTGCTGGTGTCGCCACCGTCAGATGCGCCCTCCCCCAGAAGAGCCATCATGGGGTTGGTCAGTCCGGTGTTACCCCACGTGTCCCACGCCGCATCCCACGAGTCCCGGATGCTTCCGAGCACCTTCTCGCCCCAAGTCTCCTCCCGCCTCTTGAGTGTCAGCTCGTGCTGCCGCCTCGCAACTTGCCTCACTAGCGCAAACCCTCCCAGCCCAATCGACGCGAACAGGAATCGAATAGCAAACTCCACACTTGTATCGAGACTCCCAAAAAGGGGATACGCAGCTGCACCTGCACCGAACACACCCTCCCCAAATAACCCACCAAAAAACCCACCCCGGATCACGTCACTCACTACCTCCCCCATAGGGGCAGAAATCGCCTCCCCCACCGCCGCGCCCACCGCAGTCACGGCGGCCGCGCCAGCCGCTACTCCCCCCACCTCCCCCCCCGCGCCTCCCCCCCCGTGCAACTCCTGCATGAGCTTGACAGTGACGGCGGTGGCGGCGTAACCGAAGGCGAGCACGTTGAGCAGCATGACCGCCTGGTCCTTCGTCAGATTGATGCTGTACGGGGGGGGTTGCTCCGGCTCGTAGGCGTCTTTCGACAAAAAGGTTCGCCGAACCCAGAAGGCGAAGTCTGCTAACGGGCCGGGAGGGATTCTGGGGATCGACCGCGGGAGGTGGGCGTCGGCAGGCCGCCGCTGGTCCCTGTGGGGCTTGTGGTGGTGGCCGTGCGGGTGGTTGTGGTGCTGGCGATGGCGATGGTGATGGTGATGGGAGAGATGGTGGTCCAGGCTGTCTTCCCCGTGCTGATGCCGCTTATGATGCTTGTGATCCTCATGGTGGTGATGCTCCTGATGGTGGTGGTGATGGTGCTTGTGAGGCTTGTGATGCTGATGGTCCGCGTCATGGCTGTGGCTGTGGTGGCTGCTGTGCTTGTGATGGTGCTGCTGCTGATGCTGCTGATGGTGGCCGGATTTCTCGTCATGATGCCAATGGTGCTTCCCGGGCTGATGCTCCTCGTCGTGACTGTGATGCCCATGGCTATGGCTACGTCCATGGTTATGCCCATGGCTGTGGCTATGGTCATGGCGGTGTGATTCATGGTGTGAGTGTCCGTGCCGGTTCTTGTGATGCGAATGCCGGGACGAATGCTCACCGTCGGATTCCTCATCGCTCGAAGCCCTGTGGTGGTGGTGGTGGTGGTTCGGGTGTTGGGAGTGGTGGCCCTGGTACCCGTGGCTGCCATCCGCGTGCTCCTTGTGCGCCTTCTTCCGTTTCTCCCACCACCGGTCGGCGCTGCTCAGCACTCGAGACACGCCGCTGGACCAGCCATGACCGTTCGAATCGTTATCACCAGGCCTCCCGCCATTCTGAGGTCCCATGGCAGTAACTCGACGTTGGGATTCGCCTTGTCTTAAAAATCGACGATTTCGTTTTTGTAGCAGTAGACTGTAAGGATCCCGCCTGCTGATTGCTACGCTTCCAGGCGTGAAGGTCGATTTTGCAATTTGCATAACCATAGCGGAATTTGAGTCTACCGCGGCTCCCGCTACATTAGTAGACTCGGTAAGCGGTGCGATGGACCCACTTTTCACGACACGGAGGGCCATGATAGCCCTTGTCCGAAAAAATGCGTGAGCAGCAGAATTTAGTCACGCGACCTTCTTCCAAGTGAGGCTAGGGTACAAGAAAACTGACAATGGACTCTACCCTCACCCTAACCGGGAAGCTTGCACGTCAGACTGACGGAGGGAGGGACGGCACTCCAAAAGAAATGAATCGAATTTATGAAGTGGCGCAAGGAGGAATGAGGAACGAGTAGTGTAAATGATCTCCAGCAAATACCTGGGCCAGGTTCGGTGAGGATGAGAAGAGAGAGAAGTGAAGCGAAGAGGGGAGGCGAGGAGAGAACTGGCGGATTCAGTGTACTGCTGGGGAAATTGTCAGGTGTGCGCTGACAGGCGAAACCCGAGGCTCGCTCGAGGCCCTTGGCTTGGGGGGACTTCTCCCGCCAAGGAGGAGACCAACCAACCAAGGACAAGAAAATATCGGGGCTGTTGATGCGGAACGGCCCTTGATTGGACGAGAGTGTACTGGCAACGGATTCTGTGCCCTTGCGGGGGAAGTGATTGGGCGTGCGCAGCTGGAATCGCGGAGCCTTGACGCGATCAACTCGAGGTTGGTGGATAGAGGTGGTTGAGGAGAGGGGCCAATACACGACCTCCATGCCGTGTTGGCGAATCGTCTCGTCAGCACCGTCAAGAGCTCTCAGGAGGACGAAAAAGGTTCGAAGCAACAAGGCTGTTGGTGCAGTGACTCAGCCCCACGTCAGCTAGAGGACGCTTATGGCGGTTCACCTGACATTGGTGATAATTTTCTGGAACTTCATGTGTAGGACCTTGGCTAAATTGTCTAGGACCACAAATAAGATGTTATACACAACGTATCTCAGGCTATTCCTCCTTAGTCTTGCTCCCATTATTGGCCATCACACTACAGTTTTTTCAAGGACTAAGGGACGGAGCGCGGCGACCCCTCCCCTCCCCCTCAATCTCCCTGTCAATCGACCTATCCCTCCAGCTCCTCTTCCCCTCCCGCCTTCTCCCATCTCTGCTCCTCTCCCCTCCATACGCCCCACTCTCCCCTCCACCCCCAATCGATCCCTCCCTCTGCCTCTCCCTCCCACCAAAATGATGATGCATCCGCCTGTGATGCTCGTCCCCATGCGAACCCCTCTCCTCATCCTCCTCCTCATGCCCCCTATGCGGCCGCCCCGAAAGCTGCCGGCTAAACTCCCTCCTAAACCCGTGCCGCTCCCTCCCCTCCCTCACAAACCCCTGCCCCTCCCGATCTTCCGCCTCAGACCCCTCCTGGGACCCCTGCATATTCTGCCCCTGTGGCTGCTGCTGCCGCCGGTCCCTCTCCCTCTCGCGCTCCCGCTCCCGTTTAAGTGACCCCCGCTGTTGTTGCTGCTGCTGCCCTTGCTGCCCCAGCTGCTGCTGCGAGTGCGGGGGCGGGAACTGCTGCTGCGAGCGCTCTGCCTCTAGCACACCTGCCTTGAAGCGCGAGAGCTCCTGCACCTCCGCATCCCTCAGCTGCAGCTGGCGCTGCAGCTTGTACACCTGAGAGGGGGGAGACAGAGAGAGAGAGGGGGGAAAAGGGGCATGTGTGGGGGAGAGAAAAGAGAGCGCAAGAGCTCCTACACCTCCGCATCCCTCAGCTGCAGCTGCCGCTGCAGCTTGTACACCTGGGGGGAAGAAGGCGGGGGGGAGGGGGGGAGCTGAGGTGGAAGGGAAGGGAGGGGGAAAGCTTCTGCACCACATCCCTCAGCTACAGCTGGCGCAGGAGCTTGTACACCTGGGGGGGAAAAGTGGGGGGTGGGGGGGGAAGCTGAGGGGGAGAGCTCCTGCACCTCTGCGTCCTCAGCTGCAGCTGAGAGGATGGGGGTGGGACAGACTGACACGTCAAAGCCTATTCCAAGCATGCCGCGTTTTCAAGTCACACACACACCAGACTTGACACATGGCAGCATGCACATCCCTCACTATTGCCAACCTCAACATTCACCGTCTGACCCTCTGTGATTCACCCCCTTCGCCAACTTCTCTGCCTCCTTGTTGATCTCATCCCCATACTCCTGGCAGCTCTGGCAATGGCGCACAGCAGTGGCACACAGTTACACCACTCGTACACATGCATGCAGCAGAAGCCTTACTGGTTTCTCAAGGGACTCACCGTCTCCTCCAGCTTCTCTGCCTCCTCATTGATCTCATCCACGTACTCCTGCAGCTCTGCCCATGGCGCACAGCAATGGGGTTGGGACATAGGGGGGGAAAACCACAACGGAAGAGAGGAAAGGGAGATGTTGAGGCATCTCAGAAGTGCAGGGGACGCAATGGAATAACGCGACTGGATGGAAACAGAGAGGAAACGCAGAAAGTTTGAACACTTCTTTCGCAGTGCGGCACATCACAGCAGGAGAGAAAGAGGCCAGATGAGGAGGGAATGACAGCAAAGACAAGAACAAGCATCGCCTCTAGGCCTGCCTGCCCCGATACGGAAGCCTGGGGCAGACAGAAGACACTCAGTTCGACCCTCTCTGAGCGTCAGCCATACCCATACCTTGGTAGCCTCGTTTGAGCTCAGAGTTGAGTTGCTTCTGCAGGGCGAGCTTGTTCTCCAGCTCGTGCACCTGCCAGGCAGGCAGGCAGGCAGGCAGGCAGGCAGGCAGCCGGACAGCCAGATTCAACAAACAGGGGCATGTGCAAGGGTGCTTGATTCCATGCCAGTTAAATGGACGGGGGACGGACGGGGGCACATGACAGCTATTTCTGCAGGGCGAGCTGGCTCTCCAGCTCGGCACCGGGCAGATGCCAGGCAGGCAGAAGGTTGGGGGCGGGCAGAAGGGATGAGGGATGCGCCGGATTGCCTACTGAACATCGCCACACCATCTAAGAGGAAAAAACCTTTCCACCTACCCCAGGTCTCACCTTCCCCTCAGCCGCCTCCCTCCCGATGTCCTCGTTCTCCTCCTGCAGTGTGCGGCACTTGGCCATCAGCATCTTGCCGTTCTTGCTGTGTGGCGTGAACTGCACCGCTGCCAGGTCGTCCTGCAGCTCCCGCACACGCCGCTCCAAGGCTTCGCTCTCGGTCTAACGGGGTGCGTGGGTGGGGGAAGAAGGGTGGGTGGGAGATATGGACGGTGAGGCAAGAGTGAACTGCACCGCTGCCAGGTCGTCCTGCAGCTCCCGCACACGCCTTTCCAGTGCCTCGCTCTCGGCCTGAGGGGGCAGGGGGCGGGTGGGTGGATGGGGGGTGGGAGTAGGCAGTGAGAAACGGAAGGTGAGTCAACGGTGAACTGCACCGCTGCAAGGTCGACCTGGAGAGCTCCAACACCCGTCTTCCTCATTCGTCGATAATCTCAGTCTAAGGGGGCGGGTGGGTGGGTGTGCAAGTGGAGAAGATCAGGTGCAAGGGATAGCAGCGCCCAGCAAAAGGAAGCAGAGGGCGACGCACACGAGCAAGGGGTGCCTGCCTGACAGCCTCATCTCGCCACTAAAACAGCGCGAGATGAGGCTGGCGCATGCCATGAGCTGGTTCTTGAGAGTCATTCCTCACAGCCAACCTTATCTCGCCATAACAGAACATGCATAACACGGCAGCATGCACATGCCATTGCCTCACCTTGAGTCTTTTGAATTCGGCGTGAATGGCAGCATCCAGCAGCAGAGAGCGAGTCTGGCGCGTGGCAGGGGGTGGGATGGAGAGGAGGAGGGGAGATATGGCAAAGACAGGCACACCAAGGATACCACCAGACAGGGAAACCGAAAGGTAGCGTGGCGAGAGTGAGAGGGAGGGATGGGGCTGCAAAACTGTACCCACCCTGCATGCCTAGACTGTACTCATGTTCCAGAGGTTCCAGGAATAAACGGAGTGGTTGAGAGAGGTGGAGCTGGCATGGAGAGACACAAGAAAGAGAGGGTTCTGGGACCCTAGACTGCAGCCAGGAATTGGTTGTCAGGCACACCCGACCCCCTGTGCGCTGGCAGGGTGCATGCTGTCCAACCAACACCTCCTGCACCTCTCACCTCTCACCCTCACCTCTCATCCTCACCTCTCACCCTCACCTCTCACCCTCACCTCTCACCCTCACCTCTCACCCTCACCTCACCCCCACCTACCTCCCCTTTCAGATGGGCACATGCTCTCACCCACCTGCGTGCTGGCAGGCTGCATGCTGTCCAGCACCTGCTGCAGCTGCTCCTGCAACACACAGAGGGAATAACCCACATTGTGGAATAACCCACCCGGAAGAAGGGAGACGGGGAATTACTGCGTGAGGGCCATGGAGCAACCCACATCGGACGCGGCCACCTGGAATGAAGCAGCATGCAGCGAGCACATCCATACCTCCAAAGCGACTTACTTCCTCCTCCAAGCCTTCCAGTCAATAAGCTCGGCCATGGGGTCAGCAGCTCGGCCATGGGGGTAATGGGTCGGGAATCAGCATGGGAGCCTCCCTTTTTCGCGAGGAAAGAGTGATGTGAACCAGATTCACCCATGCACACGAGTATACACACACTCATGCACACGAGTATACACACACCCATGCACACGAGTATACACACACCCATGCACACGAGTATACACACACACCCATGCACACGAGTATACACACACACCCATGCACACGAGTATACACACACACCCATGCACACGAGTATACATACACACCCATGCACACGAGTATACACACACACCCATGCACACGAGTATACACACACACCCATGCACACGAGTATACACACACACCCATGCACACGAGTATACACACACACCCATGCACACGAGTATACACACACACCCATGCACACGAGTATACACACACACCCATGCACACGAGTATACACACACACCCATGCACACGAGTATACACACACACCCATGCACACGAGTATACACACACACACCCATGCACACGAGTATACACACACACCCATGCACACGAGTATACACACACACCCATGCTCACGAGTATACACACACACCCATGCACACGAGTATACACACACACCCATGCACACGAGTATACACACACACCCATGCTCACGAGTATACACACACACCCATGCTCACGAGTATACACACACACCCATGCTCACGAGTATACACACACACCCATGCACACGAGTATACACACACACCCATGCTCACGAGTATACACACACCCATGCTCACGAGTATACACACACCCATGCTCACGAGTATACACACACACCCATGCACACGAGTATACACACACACCCATGCACACGAGTATACACACACACCCATGCACACGAGTATACACACACACCCATGCACACGAGTATACACACACACCCATGCTCACGAGTATACACACACACCCATGCTCACGAGTATACACACACACCCATGCTCACGAGTATACACACACACCCATGCACACGAGTATACACACACACCCATGCACACGAGTATACACACACACCCATGCACACGAGTATACACACACACCCATGCTCACGAGTATACACACACCCATGCTCACGAGTATACACACACCCATGCTCACGAGTATACACACACACCCATGCACACGAGTATACACACACACCCATGCACACGAGTATACACACACACCCATGCACACGAGTATACACACACACCCATGCACACGAGTATACACACACACCCATGCTCACGAGTATACACACACATTCATGCACACGACACGAGTATACACACACACCCATGCACACGAGTATACACACACACCCATGCACACGAGTATACACACACACCCATGCACACGAGTATACACACACACCCATGCACACGAGTATACACACACACCCATGCACACGAGTATACACACACACCCATGCACACGAGTATACACACACACCCATGCACACGAGTATACACACACACCCATGCTCACGAGTATACACACACACCCATGCTCACGAGTATACACACACACCCATGCTCACGAGTATACACACACACCCATGCACACGAGTATACACACACACCCATGCACACGAGTATACACACACACCCATGCACACGAGTATACACACACACCCATGCACACGAGTATACACACACACCCATGCTCACGAGTATACACACACACCCATGCTCACGAGTATACACACACCCATGCTCACGAGTATACACACACACCCATGCACACGAGTATACACACACACCCATGCACACGAGTATACACACACACCCATGCACACGAGTATACACACACACCCATGCTCACGAGTATACACACACACCCATGCACACGACACGAGTATACACACACACCCATGCACACGAGTATAAACACACACCCATGCACACGAGTATACACACACACCCATGCACACGAGTATACACACACACCCATGCACACGAGTATACACACACACCCATGCACACGAGTATACACACACACCCATGCACACGAGTATACACACACACCCATGCACACGAGTATACACACACACCCATGCACACGAGTATACACACACACCCATGCACACGAGTATACACACACACCCATGCACACGAGTATACACACACACCCATGCTCACGAGTATACACACACATTCATGCACACGACACGAGTATACACACACACCCATGCACACGAGTATACACACACACCCATGCACACGAGTATACACACACACCCATGCACACGAGTATACACACACACCCATGCACACGAGTATACACACACACCCATGCACACGAGTATACACACACACCCATGCACACGAGTATACACACACACCCATGCACACGAGTATACACACACACCCATGCACACGAGTATACACACACACCCATGCTCACGAGTATACACACACACCCATGCTCACGAGTATACACACACACCCATGCACACGAGTATACACACACACCCATGCACACGAGTATACACACACACCCATGCACACGAGTATACACACACACCCATGCTCACGAGTATACACACACCCATGCTCACGAGTATACACACACCCATGCTCACGAGTATACACACACACCCATGCACACGAGTATACACACACACCCATGCACACGAGTATACACACACACCCATGCACACGAGTATACACACACACCCATGCTCACGAGTATACACACACACCCATGCACACGACACGAGTATACACACACACCCATGCACACGAGTATAAACACACCCACCACATATACACACACACCCATGCACACGAGTATACACACACACCCATGCACACGAGTATACACACACACCCATGCACACGAGTATACACACACACCCATGCACACGAGTATACACACACACCCATGCACACGAGTATACACACACCCATGCCACGAGTATACACACACACCCATGCTCACGAGTATACACACACACCCATGCTCACGAGTATACACACACACCCATGCACACGAGTATACACACACACCCATGCACACGAGTATACACACACACCCATGCACACGAGTATACACACACACCCATGCTCACGAGTATACACACACACCCATGCTCACGAGTATACACACACACCCATGCACACGAGTATACACACACACCCATGCACACGAGTATACACACACACCCATGCTCACGAGTATACACACACACCCATGCACACGAGTATACACACACACCCATGCTCACGAGTATACACACACACCCATGCTCACGAGTATACACACACACCCATGCTCACGAGTATACACACACACCCATGCACACGAGTATACACACACACCCATGCACACGAGTATACACACACACCCATGCACACGAGTATACACACACACCCATGCTCACGAGTATACACACACCCATGCTCACGAGTATACACACACCCATGCTCACGAGTATACACACACACCCATGCACACGAGTATACACACACACCCATGCACACGAGTATACACACACACCCATGCACACGAGTATACACACACACCCATGCTCACGAGTATACACACACACCCATGCACACGACACGAGTATACACACACACCCATGCACACGAGTATAAACACACACCCATGCACACGAGTATACACACACACCCATGCACACGAGTATACACACACACCCATGCACACGAGTATACACACACACCCATGCACACGAGTATACACACACACCCATGCACACGAGTATACACACACACCCATGCTCACGAGTATACACACACACCCATGCTCACGAGTATACACACACACCCATGCTCACGAGTATACACACACACCCATGCACACGAGTATACACACACACCCATGCACACGAGTATACACACACACCCATGCACACGAGTATACACACACACCCATGCTCACGAGTATACACACACCCATGCTCACGAGTATACACACACCCATGCTCACGAGTATACACACACACCCATGCACACGAGTATACACACACACCCATGCACACGAGTATACACACACACCCATGCTCACGAGTATACACACACACCCATGCACACGAGTATACACACACACCCATGCTCACGAGTATACACACACACCCATGCTCACGAGTATACACACACACCCATGCTCACGAGTATACACACACACCCATGCACACGAGTATACACACACACCCATGCACACGAGTATACACACACACCCATGCACACGAGTATACACACACACCCATGCTCACGAGTATACACACACCCATGCTCACGAGTATACACACACCCATGCTCACGAGTATACACACACACCCATGCACACGAGTATACACACACACCCATGCACACGAGTATACACACACACCCATGCACACGAGTATACACACACACCCATGCTCACGAGTATACACACACACCCATGCACACGACACGAGTATACACACACACCCATGCACACGAGTATAAACACACACCCATGCACACGAGTATACACACACACCCATGCACACGAGTATACACACACACCCATGCACACGACACGAGTATACACACACACCCATGCACACGAGTATACACACACCCATGCACACGAGTATACACACACACCCATGCACACGAGTATACACACACACCCATGCACACGACACGAGTATACACACACACACATGCACACGAGTATACACACACACACATGCACACGAGTATACACACACACCCATGCACACGAGTATACACACACACCCATGCACACGAGTATACACACACACCCATGCACACGAGTATACACACACACCCATGCACACGAGTATACACACACACCCATGCTCACGAGTATACACACACACCCATGCACACGACACGAGTATACACACACACCCATGCACACGACACGAGTATACACACACACACATGCACACGAGTATACACACACACACATGCACACGAGTATACACACACACCCATGCACACGAGTATACACACACACCCATGCACACGAGTATACACACACACACATGCACACGAGTATACACACACACCCATGCACACGACACGAGTATACACACACACCCATGCACACGAGTATACACACACACCCATGCACACGAGTATACACACACACCCATGCACACGAGTATACACACACACCCATGCTCACGAGTATACACACACACCCATGCACACGACACGAGTATACACACACACCCATGCTCACCTTCACAGCAACCAACTCCTGCTCCCTGCCTGCCAGGCGGATGAGCATGGCGGCCTCTCTCCTTCGAGCAGCCAGCAGCCGGAGAGGTGGGCAGGGGACCCTCCTCCTCATCCCCCCCCCCCAAAACAGAGTCACACACACACACACACGCACACAAACACGCACACGCACGCATACCTTCACAGCGACCACCTCCTGCTCCCTGCCTGCCAGGCGGATCAGCATGGCCGCCTCCCTCCTCCGAGCAGCCAGCAGCTTCTCCTGCAGCTGCGCCTCCGTCTCCCTCGCCCCTTCAAACGCCGCCACCACCGCTGCCGGCTCTGCCATGGGGACGAGGGGAACATAGAACATCTTGCTTCTAAGCTTCTCCTGTAGCTGGGCCTCCATCCATCTCCATGGCTCCTCTACGCCGCCACCACTGCTGCCGGCTCTGCCCAGGGGATGAGGCGCAAAAACACACCAGTAACCAGAAGGGGAGGTCGGATATGAGAGGAATGCCTAAAGCGGCGGGGATGGGGAGAAAACAAGTAGATTCTCTGGCGAATGGACTTCTCCCGGCACAAGGATGTCAACATCAAAGGTGTTACCAGCAGTGGTGTTACCAGCAGTGGTGTCTGGCGCGAGGATGTTGGCAGGGTGAAACGCCGTCCGCCACTTGTGCAGATCCGCATGCGCCTCATCCAATTGTGACTGTAACGAACGGGGGCATGGGAGAGCCGTTAAGATAGGTAGAGAGCTGGAGAGCTGGGTGCAGTGCAGGAGCTCCGGCACAGCACAGGAAGGTCGTGAACGGGGGGGCCAGCAGCATACCCATCATGCGAAAACTGAGTGGCTTATGGGCGCAGGGTAAGTGTACAGAGAGAGGAGAGGGAACGCTCGGGGCACATGGCCAGAAAGAAGGAACTCTCGCAGGGGAAGGTGAATGCAGAGGGGGGGTCCACACGGCCATCATGAGGTGAGTGCGCAATGGAAAACCTTTTGTTTTGAGTTAAGCAGACCACACGCTTTAGGGGTTGAAGAGTCACCTGCAGTTTCGTGATGGCGGCCTCCTTCTCCTCCACGCTGATACGTGGCAGAGAGACAGTGAGGGCGGGTGGCACGTTGTAGAGGCACAGTGAAAAGGGTTGGAGTACGGTGCAGAGGAACAGTAATACTTGACCCTAGATTGTTTCAAGCATTTGCAGAAACACACGAAAATCTTTACAAAAATGTCAGTCAGTTGCATCGAAGACAAGAATGGCGCGGACATTCTGTGCACAATGCAATGCGCAGTGAGAGAGAGCAGCAGAAGGTAACGCACCAGGCACGAAGCGTGAGTATGGTGGTTGTGGCATGGTCGCCTGCTGCAACAGCAGCAACTGGGAATGACGCCTGAGAGACACAGGGATGCACCATGCAGCATGCATCATGCAACATGCATCATGCAACATGCAACACATCCCATGCACAAGGCATGAGGCATCATCAACCATGCACCATGCAGCACACAGCCGACTAAGCATATCAACCCTTCCTCCTTGAAAATTCCCCACTAACACTCGCAGCACTAACACCAGCATCGTCTACACTCCATCCCCCATAGGGTAAATATCCACCCCCTCACCATCTCCCATAGGGTAAATATCCACCCCCTCACCATCCCCCATAGGGTAAATATCCACCCCCTCACCATCCCCCATAGGGTAAATATCCACCCCCTCACCATCCCCCATAGGGTAAATATCCACCCCCTCACCATCCCCCATAGGGTAAATATCCACCCCCTCACCATCCCCCATAGGGTAAATATCCACCCCCTCACCATCCCCCATAGGGTAAATATCCACCCCCTCACCATCCCCCATAGGGTAAATATCCACCCCCTCACCATCCCCCATAGGGTAAATATCCACCCCCTCCTCTACCCGTCTGTTGTCTCCTCCATGTGTCTCTTGCACAACGGGAGAGACACCTAATCACCCACCTGATCATCCGCCATGGGGTAAATATCCACCTCCTCCTCCTCCGCTTCCTCGTCTTCCTCCTCCTCCCCCACCTCCTCGACCTCCTCCACCTCCCCTCCATCTCTTCCCCCATCAGATCCAGACGAAACCACAGCGGCAGCCTTCGTGCGACCTGTTGGAGTCTTAATGCGATCGGCAGTAGCAGCGACTCGCGACGCAACTGGTTCCTCGAATTCAAAATCTTCCTGGAAGTTTCGAAAAGATGGGAAGCAAGGGAGCGTCAGGAAACCACGATTGCTCCGAAAGCAAATATCGAAGAGTGCATTCGTTCTACTGGCGCTAAGGCGCGGATAAGCTATAAGAACAACATGACATGGATGAACGATAAGGATGTAGCGACGAGACGCATCGACTAGTTTGTGCATCTTGTAACGAGTTAAAGCTTATAGAAGACGAAGCTTCCCGTCATTTCCTGTCCTCGCAAACCCTACCTCTTCCATCGCTATCCGCTGGTTGATCGCGATCAGGCCACGCGTATCGGCTGCCCGTGGAACAGCCTGTCCCTGAACACAAGCAAGCGTCTATATCCAGCAGGATTATGCTGACTGAAATATGACCGCCTGAAGGCCAAGGAAACGGAAAGAGTGCCTGAAATATGACTGCCTAACAAGACCCGCCTATCGCCTGAGAAGGATAGGGAATAAAGACCCGCCTATCGCCTGTGAAGGATAGGGAATAAAGACCCGCCTATCGCCTGTGAAGGATAGGGAATAAAGACCCGCCTATCGCCTGTGAAGGATAGGGAATAAAGACTCGCCGCAGCGCAGAAATGGCTGCTGTGTAGTCCGCCTGAAACTGGGAAAACCGAGGTCAAGAAAAACTGCGATAAAAAGAGTTGGTTCGTATTCCCATGTACCGCAAGTTTCAAAAGAGTCGTGAGAAGGGCTCAAAATTTGACATGTACTCTGAGCTGCCTTGCGACGGGCTTCAACATTCAAATCGAACCTCTCTCAGGTTACGAGTTGGGCGGAAGTGCAAAATTCGGATACACTCTGTTACCAGCTGACGAAGCCCCTTTGGGCACCAAGTCCATCTGTTGATTTCGTATAATGCAAGGTGTCCAGAAAGTTGAGTGTGACGAAGGCCCCAGTCGACTTCTGCGAAAGCTGATTTTTTTTAGAGGGGCAGAAGTCGGGCGTTACGCATTCAAAGTTGTTTTCTGCTCCTTGATCCGCAGCAAAGCAAGTCTACAAAACACGCCCGAAGCGACTACCACTGATAGAGTTCTGTTCAAGGTCAATCAAACTACTGTAGGGGGCCTCGAAACGAAACGCCATTGTAGGTCGTGAAACGTCAAGTTTGAGTGGCAGTTGAGCCATGGCGGTCGCTCCCTTTACGATCAAGCCCAGCCTTCGAATGCCTTCTCTATAGTTTTATCGGAGAAAATACTATCGGAGTTCCCTGATGAGAGCACCACAGTCGTCCTCGTCCCTATGGACGCACCAGCTCCGCCAGTGCGTGCCGCTGACGTCAGCTGCAATCATGATTGCGCTGCAACTGGGCCTGCTTGTCGTTTTCCTCCGCCTCCTCCATTCCTCCCCTCCATCCCTCCTCCCGATCTCTCTTCACTCTCGCACCCTTCCCCTCACTCTCACATCCTCATCAGCCGGCGACTCTACCAAATCAGAGTCGCGGCATGAACAGATCTCCGATAATTGCTGCACCGGAAATAGCAGCAGCAGCAGTAGCAGCAGCATCAATGGCAGGAGTAGCGTTAACGACGGTATCGGAGACGCTTCTAACGAGGACGATCCGCCGCCCTTCCCTCCCCCGGAGCGCGCCATCGTGGCGTGGTTCGCGCGCCGCTATTGGTCCGCGATGAACGCCGCGGCGGCGCGCTGCCGGCTGAAGCGCAGTCGCCAGGTGGCGTGGCATGATTTGCTGGCGGGAGTGAGCAATCAGGATAGGGTTACCCGCGCTGACCACCCGGGAATCGCGGGGGCGTTCTTTGACACTGCCTTTGACTTCAGATTCGTTCGAAACATGTGAGACTGGTGGGAGTCGATGCCACTCTCCCGGCCACGCAGTGGTTCCCATCCCCTCCCCTCTGCATCCTTGCTATCATCCTCGCGTCCTACCGACCTCATCCCTCCCTTGTTCTCCCTTTATTCGCCATTCCCACATCCTCCTCTCCCCATTTATCGCGCGCCCCCCTCCCTCCCCCTCCCCCCCTACCCCTCTCTTCCTTCTCCCCTCCCCCCCCAACACATGTCCGCCCTCCCCCCCCTCTAGCCCAGAGCGCGCCCGCCTTTCTCCTCAAACCCTGCGTGTCGGCATCTGCGGCGGGGAAGCGCTTTCTCCCTGCTAAGGCAGCTGCCGCTGGTGCAGATGCCGCCCAAAGAGCTACGGCTGCCGCCCAAAGGATCAGAGAGGGGAGCGGGCGGCAGCGGTGTGAGGCTTAAACGGGTGGAGGTGGATTCAGATCTGACGCTCATTGCCATCGTCTTCCCGCAGGTGATGTGCTGTGCTCTGTGTGTGGCGGGGGGGGGGGGGGGCGCTATCGTGCGGTGTTGTGCCGTGCATATGGGTCGAACGAAGGGTGTTTAAGGAGAAAGTGCTTGTGAGTGAGTGCATGGGATGGGGCAAGAAGTCGTACGCCGCTGACTCTCCCCGTTTCCCATCCTCCGTCTCCCCTCTGCCAGTTCCACGCGTGCCAGGAGAACGATCAGTTCTGGGGAGTCAACTTCACCGAGTGTAACAAATGAACCAGTTCTCTATTCCTTCTCCCCCCCCTCCCCTCTTGCTCTCCCCCCAGTTCCACGCGTGCCAGGAGAACGACCAGTTCTGGGGAGTCAACTTCACCGAGTGGGACAACGTAAAGCGTGCCTTCTTCCACCCCACCACCTTCCGCCCCGTCGCCCACCCCATCGGCCCCCACCCTCCTCAACCGCACCCAACCACTTCTCTCGATCCTTCCCCTACCTCTCCATACTCCGTCTCTGCCCCCATGTCAAATACGTCCTCCATATCCCACCCACTCTCGCCCCTCTCCGGTGGTTACTACAACTTCCTCTCTCGCTCCCACCGCCGCCGAACCGCAGCTCTGGCCCGAGCCTACGGCATACATGGGCTGTGCTACCACCACTACTGGTTCGGCTGCCGCCGAACCACACTCGCCGAGCCTCTGCTCCGGATGCTGGAGGACGGCGAACCGAACCTCCCTTTTTGCCTTATCTGGGCGAACGAGCCGTGGACGAACAGATGGGATGGGGCCAGGGGGGGTGGAAGTGGAAATGGGGTTTTGATGGAGCAGACTTATGGGGGTGAGGCGTGCTGGAGAGACCATTTTGACTGGCTCCTGAAATTCTTCAAGCACCCAAACTATATTAAGGTGTGTCTTGCAACCCCATTTAGGTGACTATAGCTCAGCTGTACTTGACTTGACGTATGGCAATGACTGCTCTTTTTAACAATCGTCCCCTCACCCCTTTCGCCTCTCAATCCACCCACCAGGTGTCTGGTCGCCCTATGTTCGGCATTTACCAACTTGGCGATATCCCCGAACCTGAGGCTCGGGGAATGTTTGACCTGTGGCACACCTTGGCTCGGGAGCACGGCTTCCTGGGCCTACACCTATTCCAGTGCCTCACGCACACCAACAGCACGCCGAACCAGCGCTCCCTCGTCCAAGCCGTGGCAGAATACGAGCCTAACTATCGCAAGTTTAGGTTCGGCGAGACCCCATCCCCTGTTCGGCTGCATCAGAACCACTACCGAGGCTCGTACGTGGCATGGGATAACTTCCCGAGGCACTCGACGGACCTGTCGTGGAGGCTTGGGGACGTGGCAGAGGACCCAGTGCACTTGGCAGCACGAATGGAGGCTCGGATGAGGCTGGCTCGGCAGGACGTAGCTGAGGTTCGGCAGAGGTTCGGCAGCCCAAACGGCACGGGATTCCAACAGCCTAGCATAGTTCAAGTCCAAAATGGGACAGAGCATGGTCAGGAAGGGTCGGACGAAGACCAGAAAGGGACGGAGCAAGTGCAAGCGGGGGGTGGCAATGGGACGTTCTTCTTTGTTGCCGCTTGGAACGAGTGGGGCGAAGGGAACGCCCTCGAACCGAACCACCTCTTTGGGTTCGGAAACCTCAATGCCGTTGCCCGAGCCTACGCCCGGAGCAGGCTTCCCGCCACTGAGCCTCAGCTCGTGCTGCGGAGATTAACCGAAGCTGCAGTGGCGTGCGAGCTTTGTCTTGACGTGAGATATTACGTGGATATGAGTGCGGAGCTCTATGAGGGGCTGGAGGGGCGGGTGAGAGGGGAGCAAGGACGCATAGTGAAGCACTTTCTAGAGAAGGGATTTGGGGGAGGGATGCAGTTTAGGCTGAGGAGGAAGAGGCGTGGGGAAGAGCTTGGGAAGGAGCGTCAGGGGGAGGAAGGGGAGGGAGATGGCGAGAGGGACAGAGAAAGTGAGGTGGCAGATCCGGAAGGATATCATGAGCTCAGGTGCTCTGCGGGTACTAGTGTGGCATGGGGTAGCAATGCCACTACCGATAAGGTTGCACGGTTGTACAGTAGAAAGTATTACAGCCGCAATGCCAGCCGGGGGTGCAAGTGGTTGAAGCTGCCTCTTGACTATGTAACGGTCGCTTATCTGGTAGAAGAAGAGCTTATATGATGATTATTGAAATCTTTTGTCAAGGCAAGTCCACTCTAATGGAGTACTGCACCCCATTCCCAAACACGACATACCACATTGTCAGCAGAGCAAACATCACTGCCAGCACAGCACATTACAATTTAAATTGGCAATGGCAATGCGTTGTTTCCAGGCCAAGGTCCTTCACAACTGCTACTGACCAATGTGCCCGTCCACCTGTAGCTCTTGAAATTGCCCCGGGTGCTGAAGCTGCTGCTGCTGCTGTTGCCCCTGCCCCTGCTCCAGCCCCTGATCAGGGCTCTTGCCCTCACTGCTAGGCACTCCCGAGCTTCTATGCCGAAGCTCGTTAATCTCCCTCTTGTACTGTAGATACCGAGCCTCCGCCTCAGGTATGGTAGCCATGATCGCAGCCAGCCTCAGCCCGATGTCGTCCACCTTCTCCTGCAATATATCGCTCGTGAATAACCCGTCTATAACCAGCAATAACCCGCGCCAGTTCTCGTAAACGGGCAGAAAAATAATCACCGCGGATGCAACCACGCCCCACGCAATGGCAATCACCACCCAGAAAGTAAAATACCCGAGGGAAAAGACCCCGGCAGGGAGAGCGAGGAGGGGCCAGAGGGCTAGGAGGACCACTGAGAGGCAGACTCCCCAGAGGACGATCCAGTGGCGCGCACGCTTGAGGCGCGACTCGTCGTGCTCCCAGGGGGGGATGTCAGAGTCCCAGTCGCGGTCCACCAGCTGGATGGCCCGGGTGGTGGAATAGTCGCAGTGGTCGGGGTACATGAGGCTGGAGGGGGGGGCGGATGGGGTGAATGGGAGGAAGCTCTATGAGCAAGAGAGAGGGGGAGGGTATGTGGGGGAATGTTGGAGTGCCAGTCGCGATCCACCAGCTGTATGACCCCGGTCAGGATGATTCAGCAGCCGGTGGCTGAATAGTTGCAGTTGCTGGGGCGTTTGAGGCTGGAGGGCGGGGAGGAGGGGGGTGGGGAGAAAGTGAGGGGGTGCATCAGCAACAATTAGCTCAATGGGTGGAAGGGAGGTGGGGAGAATAGGGAAACAGCAAGGAGCAAACGAGAGAGGGGTGTACAAAATATATGCAGCAAAATATATCCAAGCCTCACCTCAGAGTCACGTGCACGATGCCGCCCACAAGCAGCGACACCAGGTTTCCTGTCAGTGTCGGTGCCTCCTGTCCTGTAGTTTTCAGATCTACAGTGCCGTACATCACAGCCGCTACAGTGATCCAGGATACCACCCCCGAAATCATCCCAATAACGCAACCAGCTATCGCTCCCACTGCATTCGCCTTCTTCCATAGAAGCAGATTCGTTATAGGTATGACCGCGCTGCCTATAAGCACACCCATTACCAGGTACATCCACCCTAGAGAGACCTGTAATTCGCTAAGCCCCACCGCCAGCACGCCCATAAATAAACCGTAACTAAGCACGAAAACCCGAGAGTAAAACAGGATCTGCCGCCCGGTCGCCTTCGGGTTGATATACGTCCGATAAACATCGTAAGTCATAAGCGAGGAAACCGCAAGGAGCTCTGCAGACCCTGCCGACGTAACGGCCATGAACACCATAATGAGTATAAGCACCGCCCCAGCATCCCCCATAAGAGCAACTGCAGCCGCGGGGGGAACTAGCCCCCTAGAAGCCTCCTCTACAGTGATGGGCAATCCCAAGGCAAGGCAGGCGAGGCCGAGGGAGGAGCCGAGGGAGAAGGGGACGGCGAACCAGACCAGCCCGCCGAGGATGTACCCCCGGTGGGTGGACGAGGGGCGCGCCGCTATGGCACTCATCCAATATCCCTGGAGAGAGGGGTGGGGGGGTGGGGGGGAAGGAGGGGAGAGGAGAGTCTAGAGGGATGGCGGAGGGGGGAATAAGGGATGAGCCGAGGGAGAAGGGGATGGAAAACCCGACCAGGCCGCCTAAGGTAGAGCCCCGGTAGGTGGAGGAGGGGCGAGCCGCTCTGACACTCATCCAATATCCCTCGAGAGAGAGGGGGGAAGTGGGGGAGAGAAGTGGGAAACAGGGGGGGGCGGGTCGGGGTGGGGTAATCGACACGGCATGTAGGCCCTGTTGTAAAACCTGCACAATGGACGGACACAGCTGCCGCTTCTGCCAGCCAGCGACGTCATTTTCCAACAGCGAGAAACAGGGCGCTTAGATCACAGTGTGTTCACATTGTCAAGGAAGACTGCACCGACGTTGCCCACAATGTTGACAATGTTTGAGGCGCCTCAAACACCGACGTTGCCCACAATGTTGACAATGTTTGAGGCGCCTCAAAAACCGACGTTGCCCACAATGTTGACAATGTTTGAGGCGCCTCGAACACCGACGCTGCCCACAATGTTGACAATGTTTGAGGCGCCTCAAACACCGACGTTGCCCACAATGTTGACAATGCCAAACATGAAGCCGGTTGGGAGCAAGTGGGCATATATACTACCGACTAGGGACGTACATATAGGCCATCCTGTGCTACTGGCACCACAACGCACTCACATTGTCAAGGAAGACGGCACCGAAGTTGCCCACGATGTTGACAACGCCGAACATGAAGCCGCCTGACGACAGCATGGTCATGTACGAGCCCTCATAGTTGCCCTCCACCGGCCCGCACACCTGGTATCCAGGGGGGATGTATGTGTGTGGGGTCAGAGAGACCGGGAGAAAAAGAGCACGTAAGCCCTCTACTGGGAAGATGCACACATGCAGTGGGGAGAGAGGTCCATTCACTTGTGACAGAGACACGAACTTACTACAGAGTTCACAGCTCACATCGCATCCCAGTACTCCCCTGCTCACCTGCCCGGGATCGGTCAGTCAAACTGCAAATTGTTGAAGACAGCAGCGGGCGAGACCAGGGAGGCCGTCAGAGGCAGTCAGAGGCAGTCAGAGGCTGTCAGAGGCCGTCAGAGGCAGTCGGAGGCAGTCAGAGGCAGAGGCCGTCAGAGGCCGTCAGAGGCCGTCAGAGGCAGTCAGAGGCAGTCAGAAGCAGTCAGAAGCAGTTTCACAAGGTTTCAAGGCCTCACCTGCCCGGGGTTGGTGAGGCGGCAGTCTCTCGTTGGGCTGGCAGCGAACTCCAGATTGTTGAAGACCGCAGAGGGAGAGCCCAGGGAGGGGCTGAAGCAGTAGACGAGCAGCACAAAGGTCACCAGCACCCCGTGGACTATGGCGCTGTGGATGTACGACGCCAGGAAGGTGGCCTGGGGAAGGGCGGGGAAGAGAGGAGTGCACAAGTTATAAGAGGGCACGGCGTTTCAAAGGTCACCAGCACCCCGTGGCGTGGACTATGGCGCTGTGGATGTACGACGCCAGGAAGGTGGCCTGAAGGGAGGGAGGGGGGGAAAATGGGGGAGGGGAGAGGAGATGGTAGAGCAGAGGGTATATGACGGGATATAGCAGAACGAAGGTCACCAGCACAGCATACGCTATGGCGCTGTGGATGTACGACGCCAGGAAGGGGGCCTGATGGGAGGAACTAAGGGCGCAAACGGAACAAGAGGGTATGGCAGTAGGAAGGGTAACGAGCGAGCACGGCATGCACTATGGCGCTGTGGATGTAGAAGGCTAGGAAGGTGGCTTGAGAGGGGGGGTTGGGAAGGGGGTTGGGTAGAGGTGGGGGAGTAAGAGCACCACTCTCCAGGTATGGGACTGGGGCATGTAGTGGACTCAAAGCGCATGTCATTCCTACCTTCAGACCACCGGCCAGCGTGTAGAAGATGACCCCAATGGGCGCTAGAAACGATGCGAGGGCAGTGACGACGGCAGCGCCAGGTGGCTTTTTAGCTGAGTGAGAGGCAAACCTAAAGTGCGTCCCACGTTCAAGCCCCCAGCGAAGGTACTTTTGAGTCGACTCAGAAGTCACAGCGAGGGTACTTTTGAGTCGACTCAGAAGTCACAGCGAGGGTGCTTTTGAGTCGGCTCAAAAGTCACCTCGTTCTAATGTCGGCAGACCTAAAGTGCATCCCACCTTCAAGCCCCCAGCGAGGGTATAGAAGATGACCCCGATTGGCGCCAGGAAGGACGCGAGGTACACGTTGAGGCCGGTGAGCGCAGTGACGACGGCAGCGCCGCCCAGCAAGAGCATGGCAGTGACGATGGTGTTGGTGAGGAAGCAGAAGCAGAGGAAACACACGTGCGCCGCCGTGCCCCACCTGCGAATGGGGGTGGGGTGGATGGGGGAACATGGGTTGGGGTAAGAGACAGGAAAACCAGGGAGAAGGGTGGGAGCGGTCACAACAGCAGCACCAACTTCGACAAGCATGGCAGTGACGATGGTGATGGTGAGGAAGCAGACGAAGAGGAAACACACGTGTGCCGCCGTGGCCCACCTGTGATAGGGGAATGCGTGGATGGGATTGGGGGGAGGGGGGAAAAGGGGCGGAGCAGTGACGGCAGCAGCGCCACGTGAGGAAGCAGAAGAAGAGGAAACGCGCATGCGCTGCGGTGCCCAACGTGATTGGGGGTGAGTGGGTGGATGGGGCAACAGAAGAACCAGGCGAAGGGAACACTAACAGCACGGCAGGCCGATGGTGCTATTTTGAGTCGACTCAAAATACACAAGAATCAGGCGAAGGGAACACTAACAGCACGGCAGGCCGATGGTGCTGATGAAGAGGCTCAGGGAAAGGCAGGATGAACGATAGTGTGCTGAGAAGCATCTGGAACTCTACCTGAAGAACCACCTGAAGAATCACCTGGCCTCACCTGGTGCGGACGATCTTGCAGACAGTGTGGGCACTGGGGGCCTTGCTTTTCATCTCTACAGCTCACACACACGTGGGTGGCAATAACCTGACGAAACACATGGCTTCACCTGGCACGGACTATCTCGCAGACAGTGTGTGCGTTGGGGGCCTTGCGCTTGATCTCCACTGCAATGATGCCGAACAGCAGCACCTGCACCGTGGCTCCACTGGCGTACCAAAACGGCCCGCTCACTCCGTTCTGCATGTGTGTACGTATAAAGGGATGCATAGAGTTATTCACATTCACATTCCGTACAGCCTAGAGTCGCACATGGACCTGGTCCTACCATGCATGTCACTTCGTGCAGTGCACAACTCAGCTGGTGTAGCATGGCAGTGCTAGTGCATGGTTCAGAATGGTACCGAATGGCAGAGCACGGTGATACAACGCAGCACAGCACGGTGCAGTGCGGTACTGCGCAGTACAGCATGGTACCAGGAAGGCGACATTGGAGGATTGCAGGATGGTGGCAGCCCAGGTCCACTGCGATACAATCACACTCGCTATGAGCCCCGTCTTCACGTTCCGGCCAGCCGTGTTGAACCACTCGCTGCTCTGCCGCGTGCCCACGTAGCGCTTGTCCAGCCACACCTGTGAGACGGGGTGATGGTGAGCAAACGGTGTGATGATGGGGGAATAAGGTCATGGTGGGGTTAGTGTTGAACCACTCGCTGCTCTGCCACGTGCCCACATAGCGCTAGTCCAGCCACACCTGGATTAGTTGAGATGGTGATGGTGATGATGGTGCTGGTGGTGATGATGGTGATGATGGTGCTGGTGGTGATGATGGTGCTGGTGGTGATGATGGTGCTGGTGGTGATGATGGTGATGATGGTGCTGGTGGTGATGATGGTGCTGGTGGTGATGATGGTGCTGGTGGTGATGATGGTGATGATGGTGATGATGGTGATGATGGTGATGATGGTGATGATGGTGCTGGTGGTGATGATGGTGATGATGGTGATGATGGTGATGATGGTGATGATGGTGATGATGGTGATGATGGTGATGATGGTGCTGGTGGTGATGATGGTGATGATGGTGATGATGGTGATGATGGTGATGATGGTGATGATGGTGATGATGGTGATGATGGTGATGATGGTGATGATGGTGATGATATCAGAGTTTGATGATGGGGCTATGGTGAGCGTGTAAAACCACTCGCTGCTCTGCCTTGTGCCCGTATAGCGCTTGTCCAGCCACACCTGTGAGTTGATGAGATACCACAATGGTGATGGGATGGCGGTGAGTAGCGAGGTAATGATGAACCAATGGGGTGACGGGGACAGCGTAGCGTCACTCGCTGCTCTGCCACGTGCCCACATAACGCTTGTCCAGCCACACCTGGGGTTGGTGACTGACAGGGCAATGGCATGATGGTGGGATGATGTGGGTGGTGATACAACGATGGAACAAGCAGTGTTGACCTACTCGGGTCTCTGCTTCGTCCCCATGAAGCACTTGCCCAAAGCCCAGCACAACCGCGTACCCAACCCCCACGAGGCGGGGGAAAGAACGTGTGAGTGTGGGTGAGAGAGCGCGAGAGGACATCGAACCAAGGACCAGAGACACACCAGCCAGGAGGTAAAGATGGCGAAGAACGCCCCAAAGCCCAGCACAACGGCGTACCCAACCCCCACCGACAGCAGCGGATGCCCGGCAAAGAACGACGTCTGCTGCGCGCAGCTGCCCGAGTTGTTGTAGAAATATTCTGCCCGGAACGGAGAGGGTAGAGGGGAAGCGGAGGTGGGAGAAGGGGAGGGGGGGCGGTGGGGGAAAGGGAGGTTGGAAGAGGGCGATAAGCAATGGCAGTTCCCAGGTGGGGAAGGGAACTCGGGAAGTACGGACATGCTGCTGGCGTCTCACGTGGTAGTGGTGCTAGCCTCTGACGTGGCAGCTACCGTCTTACGTGGAAGGCCGAATCCGTCAGGCGGGCAGTTGGGCGGAAGCCCGTTGTTGCTCGTCATAGTATTGCGCCCGACTCGGAATGTCCCGACTCTGGCTCAATGTCTCACAGAGGCTTCATCCGCCGCGGGCGCGCGGCCAAAAATCCTGAGGAGCGCGCGTGTGTAGGACCTGCACGGTCTTGCAAAGAAGTCTTTGACGATAAGCGAGGCAACCAATCTTCTGGATTCTCAAGCCCAGTACGCTCACGGCGGGGTGACTGCTGCTTGCTGTTTGTGACTGCTGCTCACGCGCGACGGCTACTAAGGTACCGGCAGCAAGAGAACTAAGCACTGTGAACGCGGCGGAATTATTTCCTTGAATCCGGAATGTCAGGCGGGAACCCACGCCGGTACCACAGGTTGACTGCGTGAGCGACGATTAAGACGTTCACAAGTGTACGCAACACACTTGATGACCAAGACGCGTAGCTGTATCTAGCGGTAACGCGAAAGGCTCGTTAGGTGTAACTGTCGAAGTGGAGGTGCGTGGTGTGTGCGGGCCGGCGAGGCATAGGAAGCGGCGGGAGTTGACAAGCGTTGGGCCGATTAGCGGTTTGATCTGTAGCGTACGGTAACTACATGGCGATATTCTATGGATTGGGGAGCTTATTCTGAGTAACAAGAACAGTAAGGACCTCCAGAGACTACTGCTACCAAGATCAGGAACAAACGCATCAACCATACGGGGTTGGTAGCCCAACGAATTTGTGACCCAACTTGGCCGTTGCGCGTAGATTCTGGTGGGGGAATCGAACCGAGCCGACCCTTGGGATTTGCCAAAGGCTGCGGCTGACTGGGGCTTCTTGTGTGCGTGGTAGAGACAGTCGGTCGGTACACCTGTCCTCCGCCAATTTCTGTGGTGGCAACCCCTCTGATTTTGTCTCATACTCGGACGAGCTGCCAGATGCTGCTCAAAAGTAATGGGGAAATTTCAGCTCAGTTCGCCATGTCAGCTCTCAGCAGCGCAATATCGCAGATCGCAGCCGTTGGTGAGAGTTGGCTCCTCACAACTCGGAAGGATGTACTTGAGTGAGCAAACACGTGGTGCCTAAAGATGAGTTGAGGAGGATTTGGGTATTTATCTTGGGTAAGTAGCTGCTGGATGGGTACTATTAAAACATTTCGCATCGCAGTCTGATTTAGAGCTACACCCTGATATTCGATCATGTCACAGGTTTTGAAACGACAGGTGTGATTGTTTTTTGTGCCGAGTGACCATATCGCTTTATTATCACCTTGGCCCAATTCCGCACCTAAAACGTGACTGTAACACCCGACGGTCGATTCGGAATCTCGTCAAGGATGCTGCCGAAGATCTCGCGCGGTGTTTTGTCTTTCACTGGGGACTGTCGAGACTTGGAGGGACAGTTTGTAAAGCATAAAAGGACTCGAATACTGGATTTTCGACTACAAACAACGCAGAAGACAAACCAAGATAGACTCAAACCAGAGGTTCAGTATTCACTGAACAAATTTTCCCTCGACATCAACAGCAGCAGAGGGAGGAGCCAGCACGCAAGAGGCAAAGAGCAACAAAACCAGAGGGGCAAAACATGGCACCACCATGGAAAAGCAAAGCAAACAAACAACGAGCAAGCACACATGAACTCTCAAGACATTGCACACCGGGATGGACTTAATATTCGTTACAAACTCCATCTGTCCTCTCAGTAACATTCAAGCCACAGCGTCACAGCCACAGCAATTTCAGCATACCAGCATGTCCGCCACTGCATCTCTATGCCGCAGTCTCTATCAGGTCGGTCGTGGGCTGGCCATCGTCAGCAGTCACAAAATCCAGGGCCCTCATGGCGCGCGGCCCAAGTGCCAGCCTTGAAATTGCAGCCACGAGGTCGTTCATGTCAGCGGCATCCGCGCCCCTTGCATACTGGGCAGTTGCATTCACATGTGGAAGCAACGACGCCCATGTCGCAGGGAGGCAGCCAGTACGCCACCAGCAACGCTGCACGGTGACGGCGCTAACAGAGCTCCATGCCTCCGCCAGCCAAACCACCGTATCGCGCCATTTCGGTTTCGCACTTGACAGCCGTGCACCCAAGCTTCCGGTCTCCCACAAGGCAATCAATTCTTCCACCCACTTCTTGCGGTAGCGGGTCTTAACTGTGGCGATGATGCCTTGATCCAACGGCTGCGTGAAGCAGGTGGTGTTCGGCGGGAGAAAGATCAGTCGCACGTTCGACATCTTCAAGGTTTTGAAGCCTAGAAGTTCCTCCTCAATAGCCCGCTGCGGATTCAAGGCATGGCTAGACGCGTTATCAAGCAATATTACAACCTGCCTCCCTTCGATGAAGAATCCGGCATTCACTTCCTCCATCCATTCCGTGAAGAGCTGATACACATAAAATCATAGGGACATGGAAAACATGTCAAAGCCTTCTACAAGCATTTGGAAACACAATGGGAAAGTACTGCGTTTTTGGAATTCAATATGACGAAAGGACTCGAAGCGTACCTCGGAATTCATCCACCCCTTTCGGTTCGAACGCCAGCGCACGTAGAGCTCAGGGTCGAAGTCCCTCCCAAAGTCGCGTGGCCTCCTGACTTTCGAAATGACGAAGGCCGGGAAGTTGTGTGAACCGTCCGCGTTGCAGAGGAGTGCCACCGTCACTCGGTCTCTGGCAGCCTTGCCACCCGGCAGAGTCGTCTCGGAGTAGGTGAGACGGGGCTGAAGTGCCGGGTACAACGGCAACTCATCAAGGTTGTATAGGTCCTTTGGCAGCACATTGAGGCGTAGGAGTACGGGGGGCAAGTTGGTGCGGCATATGTAGACGCCATCCATATCTGCGTCCCCAGCCTCTCCTTTCCGCGAAAGGCACCTGAATCCCATCCTGTCGAGCGCCTTCTGCAGCCATCCGATGCTGCAGAGAAAGGTGGGGTGCAAACCGAGCTCGCGTGCCAATACACGTGCCTTCTCCTGGATCACCTCTAGAGTTAACGGTAATCCCGCCATTGCAGCAGCACAAATCCATACCTTCAACCGTTCCTCGAGAACTGGGTGATTGCCCCTGCGGATTCGGCATTCCTTGTCGGAGCGTGGAGAAACCTTGAGCCATTCCTCCTTGTTCTTGAGAATCTTGCATATGGTTGAACGGCTGGGGAGAACACCAAATTCAGATTCAACCCACTCTGCCAAATCTGCATGGCGCAATGTTGGGTGCGCTTGAGCATGCTTACAGACGGAGCGTTTCGTAAGTCGATTCAGACGAGCTCGGGTACAAATTCGCGCCATCGCTAACGTAACACTGTCTAGCGAGAGTGATCTGGCTGTCGGGAGGGATGTTCGAAGGGTTACACCCGCCAATTTCAGTATCGAAAATGTCGCAACTGGGTGATGTGCGAATAAGCCTCAGCAGCGACCCCATGAATATTGTCTCCCGCGGCTCGGCAGGTTCGTTTCTCCGAGTCGCGCGATTGGACCTGCTGTTTTCTATTTCTTCAACTCCCCACAAATATCGCTGCTCACTTGGCGTTTCCCTGGAACTTGCAGGGGGCTCCATGTTACTTCCCACACCACCACAAATCTCAAGCCACTTTGTCTAGCTGCCCCTCTTCATAGCCGGCGTCGTCACTCCATATCGGTTGTGCGTCTATTTTTCAGTCGCGCGTTGCAAACATTCCAGTAATTAGGGAAGCTCGTCTGTAAACTTGAAACAAATTGATTTTAGGGTAAGTTGCCGCTTTGTTCAATGTTATCCCCATTGTTCTGATCTCGGCAAAGGGGTCTCATCTTAGAACCCCTTGAACTGTCAACGAAGCCACCGTCCACGTTGTTTCCCTCAGAAATCCAAATACACGTCACCATGTCACATGTGATCCAGGCCCATTGGCGGGAAATATGGTGTTCGGATTATCACGTTTGTTTCCGCGAGTTGAGTGTTTGCGACACCTTGGTCGGTTGATTTCGCGCGCTACCTCGGACTATGGGATTGGTTCCCAAATCGGATTGCCAGATCTTCGCGGATTGATGTCATTAAGCCAATGCGGCAGCTTGCACATAAATACTTTGGCCAACTACGTCAAATTCAATCATGAAATTCGATTGCTGTGACATAACAATCCGTTGGCCCAAAACTAAGTTGAATGTACCAAAAAGTTTCTTTTATCGACTGTTCTTGTATCGAATATCAGGGTGTACCTCATGTGACTTTCGGCGTTTTCTCATCTTAGTCATGTGAAGTATTGGTCTGTCTCATGTCTCCTGGCAAAAATTCGCGCCACGTGTCCATTGCTGAAGCCCAAACAGAAATTTCGAGTCACGACAGCAATATACTGTCTTTTCCTGTAACCAACATCCGAGGTGATGACGTCAGCAGTCACCTACGTGGCTTCACGGTAACCATCAGATCGACTTCGTCCCAGCATCGTACCAATTATCCCTACATGGTACCAATTTGTATGCGGTAGATTCCCTAACTGGTAACCGTCAGTTTCAACGCTTCCGAACTGCCCCCACGTGTTTCGTACACGCCCTGACGAAGTTCGCGAAGAAGAACATCTAGTACAGAGTATTTCGCAGATCCGCTTAGGCTGAAATGCTACGCAACATTTTTAAATAAACATCATATAAAACTATCATTATGCATAACATTGATTTTTTTGTTCGGTAGTTTTATTATATAGTTTAACTTTAACAGGATTGTCATTATAAAAAACATAAATCATTCAGATCTTTTTATATCAGTGTAATGTTTGGGGCTCGTAGCATAGAATGTAAAAAGAACACTAGCAATGAACTCGTGTCAAGGCATTCATACTATAACTGCTCTACATGCTCATTGTTATAAATTACTCCGTAGTATAGCGCAGAATAATATAATGGAGATGACTACAATCTCTGTCAATACAAATGAGGCCTAGGGCTTATATAGTGCTACTTGACCAAGCTTGAACCTTGAGGGCGAAATTGTCAAATTGCATTCGGGGCGCCTAGGTAACACGCTCGGGGGCGATTAGTCGGAGGGGGTGGTTGAGACTTGAGGACCGAGGCTGCGGACGTGTACTGTTCGTGATGCTCGCAGTGGCGAAACCCGTTGATGATTCATGAAATCCTTATACACATTATGAAAGAGAATACATGAACACCATAAACCACTATATATTGACTGATACATTATATTAATGGTACGCATAGAAACTACATATATAGTGTTTTTCCATTTATTTCAGGATTTAATAATTCCACAAATTTCAAAATGGTATTAAAACTGCTAAACGACTAAACATGCATGGTATACATAATGAGACTATTATCTGAGATTAGTTTAAAAATTCCGCGTAACATTTCAGCCTAAGCCCACCTGCGAAATACTCTGTACCAGATGTTCTTCTTCGCGAACTTCGTCAGGGCGTGTACGAAACACGTGGGGGCAGTTCAGAAGCGTTGAAATTGACGGTTACCAGTTAGGGAATCTGCCGCGTACAAATTGGTACCATGTAGGGATAATTGGTACCATGCTGGGACGAAGTCGATCTGATGGTTACCGTGAAGCCACGTAGGTGACTGCTGACGTCATCACCTCGGATGTTGGTTACCCGAGAGATAAATATCCGGATTTCACCCTTGTCACAACGGTACGATTTATCGATGCTGCTGAGTCACCCGCACTTTCTCTTGGAACCCAGTCAGCAGGGCGGTCAGCATGGTTCCCATTTGAGAAATTAGTGTCAACACGCTGGTTGGCACTAACTTCTCACCCTCCCGCTAACGACAGAAGTACAGTACCTATAACGACAGAAGTACAGTTGAACGAGAAATTAACGGAGGACAAGTGTAGGTTCACAATTGTGGTTAGGGAGTTGGACCATCGACGGGACCGCTGTCGATCGTAGGGAGGTGCGCGTGCGAGCTGTTTGAGCTGACAGAGTTGGCACTGTAGATTTTTCTGCGTACAGTACATGTGGCATATACGACACGAATGCCACGAAATATTATTTTTCAGGAAATTGCGTACATGGTAACCAGTTAAAATTCGAAGAAAATACTTTTGTGAGGTCGAATTCTTGTGTTATTGAAAAAGATACAGAAATGCAATCAACACTCAAACGAGTTAATCAATGACGTGTAGTCTTTTGTACCTTCACGGCTCGACCGACACAACTGGACCGTGAAGATCCTTTTTGTCACCGATACTTTTTGTTCCAAACATGTCCCCTGAGAAGAATGAACGGCTTGACTGCGTTCAGTCTCAACCAAACACGACTCCCTTATCTAAACACCGACCACATTCTAGCGTTTCTCATCAGCTGTGGAACACATTACTGTAGCCCCCATGGATCAATGGTTGTCAGATCCGCCGTAAAATTGATGTCGGTCTGCTATGCCAAAGCCTCAAAATCGTGGATGGAACAATGTCCGAACCTGGTTTGCTCAACCAATCAACGCCTGCGATCATCTGTTAGGCGCATAGCTTGTTTGGCCTGGGGCGACTGCCAGACCACCAGCCCAGGCATTGGCCGTAAATTTTCCTCCTTGTCTCCTCTAACCGCCTCTCGTCCACCAGATTCCCAGATTTGGCGGTGTGAGCGTCCCACAGCTGTCGAGGGCCACCCGAACGAATCCCCATCAGGGCTTACTTTTGGTTTTCAGACACCCTTAAAAACTTGGGTTTCTTGAGCCTTTACTCTTGATTTTCAGGTTCCAGCAAAAGGCAACCCTTAAACATTAGGCCTCGTTCGAACAGTACTCTTTTTACTGCCACAATTATAATCTACCAAGAGATGTATGGACAAGAAGAAATGGGCGTGAGTAATGTGCACGGGGCTGGGGCTGTGAGGGAAGAATGACGAAAATCGACGGAGTGAGTTGTCTCCCCTGTTTGTGACTACGAGGTGTGAGTAATTTGCTGTGAGGGGAGAAGAGTGAAAATCTACTAAGGGAGATGTCTCTCCTCTGTTTGTGACTAAGGTGTGAGTAACGTGCTGTGAGGGGAGGACGAAAATATTCAGAGGGTGCTTGTCTCCCCTCTTTGTGACTACGGGAATAATGTGCTGTGAGGGGAGAAGGACGAAATTATTATAAGGGAGTTCTTACCCATCTGTTTGTCACTTGGTGTGAGTACGTGCTGTGAGGGGAGAACAACAAGAATCTTCTAGGGTAGTTGTTCCTTCTAAAGAGATCCCCCCTGTAGCCCTACCAGCACTAGTAGTATACTCAGGGGAAAAAAGTAAATACCCATAAAATCTAGGGTCGCACTCTGAATAAACCTTAATCCGCCGGGTTCATAAAAATACAGCACTTAATTTGTGGAGCAAGCTGAAAAAATGCTCTTTATTTGACTCAAATTCAGGGCAGCAGCCCTTGAAAAATAGGCCCTGATCCCTATGGTCCATTTCTCCGCTGAGTTGGCCTGGTGATCCGCCCAGAGTGGTCCCCAGGATTGCTGATCCTGTGTGAACCCGTTTCCTAGGCTTTTTCTGGTAAACTGAGCACAAGGCCATTGGTGATACATCTGTTGGCTGGGTTGTTTTGCTCCCTCCCAACATACTCTGTATTTCCAAGGAACCTCCCAGCCGGTGAACTGGGACTCAGCAGAATGACAGCAGATTCCCCCACCATGGCTTCCCAGGGGCAAGCCGACGCCCCTCTCAAACCCAAAGACTTCGATTACTCTGCTCCTCCCCCCTTCACCCTGTCGGATCTACGCAACGCCATTCCGAAGCATTGCTGGGTGAAAAATCCTTTGCGATCGCTGTCTTACTTTGTTCGCGACTTCCTGATCGTTTTCACTCTGGGAGCCGTCGCGCTGTACTTCGACTCATGGACTCTGTGGCCGCTCTATTGGTTCGCTCAGGGAACCATGTTCTGGGCTCTATTCGTCGTCGGTCATGACTGGTATGTCGATCGATGATCGGATAATTCCCTGGATTTCGGGATCTGGGAGTGTCAGCGGTGAACCTCACTTGTTTCCTTTCTCCGCGATGCAGTGGTCACGGAAGCTTCTCGGACAGCCGCAGTCTTAACGACTTCGTCGGACATCTCAGCCACGCGTTTATCCTCGTCCCTTACCACGGATGGTGAGTTCGCCATTCACGATACGATCAAAACCATGGTGAGGAGTTCGCCATGCTGGCGGATGGTTATCTAATTCCTTGTCAGTATGGCGTGGCAGGAGGATAAGTCATCGAACACACCATGCTAACCACGGCCACGTGGAGAACGATGAATCCTGGTACCCCGTAAGTGCTGCGCTGTTCTGGAACTCCTAGATCCTTATCTTGTCGCGTATGTCTAGGGAAGGCAAGGCTCACGCAAATCCTTCGCCCTGTGTCAGATTACCAAGGAGGTCTACGAGCAGATGGACCTTGGATCCAAGCTGGCGAGGTTCAAGTTCCCGTTTCCCCTGGTTGCCTTCCCGTTCTACCTGGTATGTTCGGGTTCACAGCTAATGGTCTCTCACATTCCACCCTGAAATATAAAAACTGTTTCTCTTTTCTCCGGGTTCACGAGCTATTATATGACATGCGTTCCTCTCTCTCAGTGGTTGCGCACACCAGGCAAGAAGGGATCTCACTTCGACCCGAAGTGCGACCTGTTTACGGAGAGCGAGTACAACGACGTTGTCACCTCGGCGACGTGGTGGTGGGCTATGGTCGCACTCTTGGCCGCTTTCTCGGTCGCCTTCGGCCCCTTGGTCATGTTCAAGCTTTACTTCATGCCGTACTGGGTGAGTGAACCACCAATTGATGAAATTCAGAGTAGGTTATGGAAATGAAACTAAACAAGTTTGTTCCACTTGTGCGTAGATTAACGTGATGTGGCTGGACCTGGTCACCTACCTTCATCACCATGGCTATGACAAGAAAGTTCCGTGGTACAGAGGCAAGGTGAGTCTCTATCATTTCATTCGAGTAATCAACATCAGCCCAATCCTATCATCATGCTGAGGGTGGAATATCTGCTGTACAGGAGTGGTCATACCTGAGGGGAGGCCTATCGACTATCGATAGAGACTACGGAGTATTCAACAAGATTCACCACGACATTGGAACTCACGTGGTGCATCATTTGTTCCCCCAAATCCCCCACTACAATCTGACCGAAGCGGTAAGAGCTTATACTCGTAGAACTTGGCAGTTCCACCATATAGATTCGTGCGAGCATCACGCACCTAATTCTCTTCTCGTCCCTCGTTCTCATCCAGACGGCCGCTATCAAGCCCATTCTTGGAAATTACTACCGTGAACCCGAGCCATGCAAGGGTCCCTTCCCCTTCCACCTTCTGGATCCATTGGTGAAGTCTTTCAGTGAAGACCACTTCGTGTCATCTGAAGGAGACATCGTCTTCTACCAGAAGAGCCATGACGAGCTGTAGAGCAGCAATTGCGTCTTGCCATGAAGCATGGGCATGGTTGCAGTCTGGTACACACTGGTACAATGGCGTGTGCCACCCTGAAGTCCAATGGGACCCAGATGTACGGTATTAAAGAAGTTGGGTTGCCTTGGTACACCTTAGAAATGGTGCATCAATTTGTACTGTTCTCCTGCTCTCCATCTAATGGAACAATCAGTAAGCATGTAACTGTCAAACGTGACAACAAAGAATATAAACATGCAGAACTTCCAGAACAAGCGTCGCCAGGCCCGCGTAGTTCACTTGGCCTCCGGTGCGAACACTGTTGGAAATATCTCGAGGACTTCAGCGTTTCTGAAGTGTAACATGTCAAACATGTTTAGTTATCATGCTTGTATAGACTGTATAGGGTCATCTTCTAGAGAGTACAACTGTTAGGTATATGTTTGTGTACTCTCTTCCTCTCAATTATCAATTTCACTGTTTAATATGGTATCACGCGTAGGTAGGATCCCCCCCCCCCCCTCACGCTTCCGCTCGCCCCCCTAGCTGGGCCCCGTCGTGCTCCTAGCCCCGTCGCGACCCTCCCTCGCCCCGTCGCGACCCTCCCTAGCCCCGTCGCGCCCCTTCCTGGGCCCCGTTGCGCCCCTTTCTGGGCCCCGTAGCGCCCCTCCAGGGCCCCGTCGCGCTCCTCCCAGGCCTCGTAGCGCCCCTCCTGGGCCCAATTGCGCTCCTCCCAGGCCCCGTCGCGCCCCTTCCAGGGCTTCGTAGCGCCCCTCCAGGCCCCGTCGCGCCCCTTCCAGGGCTTCGTAGCGCCCCTCCAGGCCCCGTCGCGCCCCTTCCAGGGCCTGGTAGCGCCCCTCCAGGGCCCCGTCGCGCTCCTCCCAGGCCCCGTAGCGCCCCTCCTGGGCCCCATTGCGCTCCTCCCAGGCCCCGTCGCGCCCCTCCCTAGCCCAGTCGCGCTCCTCCCAGGCCCCGGTAGCGCCCCTCCTGGGCCCCATTGCGCTCCCCCCAGGCCCCGTCGCGCCCCTACCTGGGCTTTGTAGCGCCCCGCCACGCCCCGTCGCGCCCCTCCCAGGCCCCCCCTCGCGCCCCTACCAGGGCCCGTAGCGCCCCTCCTGGGCTCGTAGCGCCCCTCCTGGGCCCGTAGCGCCCCTCCTGGGCCCGTAGCTACCCTCCTGGGCCCCGTCGAGCCCCTCCTGGGCCCTGTCGCCCCTGCTCGGCCCCGTCGCCCCTGCTCGGCCCCGTCGCCCCTGCTCGGCCCCGTCGCGGCCTCTCGGCCACGTGGCGCCCGCCCGGCCCCTGTCCCGGCTGCCCGGCCCCTGTCGCCCTGCCCGGCCCCTGCTCGCCCGCCCGGCCCCGTCGCCCCTGCCCGGCCCTGCTGTGTCCTGCCCGGGCCCCGTCCCTGCCGCCCGACCTTGTCGCTGCCGCCCGGCCCCGTCGCAGCCGCTCGGCCCCGTCGCCCCTGCCCGGCCCTGCTGTGTCCTGCCCGGCCCCGTCCCTGCCGCCCGGCCCCGTCGCAGCCGCCCGGCCCCGTCGCAGCCGCCCGACCACGTCGCAGCCGCCCGGCCTTGTCGCTGCCGCCCGGCCCCGTCGCCGCCGCCCGGCCCCGTCGCAGCCGCCCGGCCACGTCGCAGCCGCCCGGCCTTGTCGCTGCCGCCCGGCCCCGTCGCCGCCGCCCGGCCACGTCGCAGCCGCCCGGCCTTGTCGCTGCCGCCCGGCCCTGTCGCCGCCGCCCGGCCCCGTCGCAGCCGCCCGGCCCCGTCGCCGCCGCCCGGCCTTGTCGTGCCTGCCCGGCCCTGACGCGCCTGCCCCGGCCCTCCATACTTCCTGGTACTGTCCCCCGTTTCCCGCACCACTTTGCACCCTCCTTCACTTTCCTGCCCCGCCTTGCACCGCATTGCACCTCACTGGACCGCACCGCCCGCACTGCATCGCACTGGACCGTACTGCACCGCACTGCACCGCACTGCATTGCACTGCACTGTCCTCCACTGCCCCTCATGGCTGCTGAGCTTCGTTTTGATGCTGAGGGTCAGCCTCTGGAGTTCGAGGCGTGGTTGGCTGACCTTCGCCGCCACCTCACTGGCCAGCGGCAGGACGGCCACCCGCTTTCTGCACACCTAGACGGTATGCTCCCCTGCCCTGACCCCCCTGCTGTGCTGCCCGCTGATCCCACGCCCGCTGAGCGCGAGTCCGCTGCCGCTGCTGCCCTTGCCCGCTCTGTCTGGCTTTCCCGCGATGCCCTTGCTCAGCTCGCCATTAGCAATGCCCTCCCCCCCCCTGAGCGCCCTCGCTTTAGAACCATTACTACCGCCCAGGCCTACCTTGATGCTGTCATCAAGCGCTATTCTACCCCTCCTGCTGCCTCAGTGGGTCGCCTGATACTCCCCCTGCTCTTTCCTGACCTGGCGTCTTTCCCCACTGTCTCTGACCTCGCTGCCCACCTGCGCTCGATAGATGAGGCCTGGCGCGCTGCCTGCACTGATGCACAGCTTAGAGTCCACCAGCCTCCCATGACCTCCACCCTCTACCTCCTTGCCACCCGCCTCCCTGACCGCCTTGCCGCCGCCCGCGACCAGTTTCTTAGCATCCATCCTGCTGCTCTCACCCTCACCGACTTTGTTGACACCCTGACTGCCATAGAGACTCGTCACCGCTCCATAGCCCAGGCGAGCGGTACAGTACCGGTCCCTATCTTTCAGGGTTGTGCCCCCGCTCAGTGTACCTTCTCCGACGGCTCTGTCGCTGTGGCTGAGACTGCTGCTGCAGTGCAGTCCCGCTCGGCGAAGGGCCGCCGCCCCAAGGTTGGGAGCGGCGGAGGCGGCGGGGGTGCGGGTGGGGGTAGTGGTGGAGGCGGGTCGTCCGGTGCCGGTGCGGACGTGGGGACCCTGCCCGGTCCAGCTGCCCCGCTGCCTCCACCGTTGCAGCAGCAGCAGTCGCCGCAGCCGCAGCAGCCGCAGCAGCCGCCGCAGACGAGGCCGGCGAGTGCTCTCCCACCTGGGTGGCCTGGAGCTGGTGGTGGTCGTGCGCGTGGTGGTGCACCGGGTGGTGGTTCTGGAGGCGGGCCCTGTCAGTACCAGATCCAGACCGGTCCTCGCCGCGGCTTCGTTTGCGGTAAGATCGGTCATTCTACTCCTCGCTGTTTTCGTCGTCTGGACGACATGTTCCGCCAGCGCTTTGGCCCGGCGCCCGACCTCCCGGACTGGCACAGCTTGCTTAGGCGTAGCATTAGGATTTTTGACTTGGACATGGATGCCATTGTAGCAGCCTTGCATGTGATGTATGCTGATGACTCTAGTGTGCTTCCCTCTTATTACCCCATGTTGCCTAGTGTAGCGGTGCCTAGCGTAGACTCCCCTGCTGCGTCAGGCGTAGGATCTCCTGCTTTGCTTAGCCTTGGTGCTTCCACCGCTTCACTGCCGCCTCACGCGACTGCTGCGCTTTCCTTCACCTTGGACTCTGGCGCCTCCCGGTGTTTCTTCCGCGACTCCACGACGCTGACGCCGCTGCCTGTTCCCGCTGCCGTTACTCTTGCTGACCCCTCCGGTGGTCCCGTCGTTGCCCGCAGTTCCACCTCCCTTCCCTGTCCGGCGGTTCCTTCAGGTTCGCTCACCGGTCTGCATATCCCCTCGTTCTCCAGGAACCTAGTTGGTGTCGGCTGCCTCCAGGACCTTGGCGTCACCACTACATTCCCTGGTCACGAGCGGTATGCTGTCTGTACCGAGGCCGCCACTGGTGCCCCCCTTACCACTTTCCCCCGGGACCCGGTGTCCGGCCTGTTCACTCTTGACACCGCGACGTCCCCGGCTGGGTCTTCCCCCCCGGTAGCTGCGTCCACCCAGGTTGCTGCCGCGTGCTCCTGTCGGTCCCTCACTCACCCGACTCTCCTTTGGCACCACCGCCTTGGTCACCCTGCACTCCCACGTCTGCGTCACATGTCCCAGCACGGTCTCGTCCTTGGTCTCCCCGGTTCGTTCCCCGAGTTTCCCTCCTCCCCCGCCCCACCGTGCACGCCTTGTGTCGAGGGCCGGCTCCGCCGTGCCCCTCACTCCTCCTCTTTTCCCCCTACCACCGCACCACTGCAGACTCTGCACATGGACGTCTGGGGCCCAGCCCCGGTCCATGGGCCGCGTCGCGAGTGCTTCTTCCTAGTGCTTGTCGACGACTTCACGCGCTACACCACCGTCTTCCCCCTGGAGCGGAAGGCCGACGTGCCTGACGTTCTCATCCCCTGGCTTGTCCCTGCCTTGCGCCTCCACTCCGACCGGGGTGGCGAGTTTGCCTCAGGTGTCCTTGGTCGCTTCTGTCGTGCGGAGGGCATCACCCAGACGTTTACCCTGCCGGACTCCCCGCAGCAGAATGGGGTCGCTGAGCGACGCATCGGTTTGGTCATGGAGGTGGCTCGCACCTCCATGATCCACGCCGGTGCACCCCATTTTCTGTGGCCGTTCGCCGTGCGCTACGCCGCTCACCAGCTTAACCTGTGGCCGCACCCCCAGCGGCCGCAGGTTTCGCCGACCCTTCTGTGGACCGGGTCCCCTGGTGACGCGTCTGCGTTCCACGTCTGGGGCTGCCTTGCCCACGTCCGTGCCTCTGGCACGGACAAGCTCACTGCCCGCACCCTCCCCTGCGTCTTCCTCGGTTTCCCCCTTGACGCGTCCGACTGGCACTTCTACCACCCGCCGTCCCACCGCTTCTTTCACTCTCGCGACGTCACCTTTGACGAGTCCGTCTCCTTCTACCGCCGCTTCCCTCACCGTGGTCCCCCGGTTACTCCCCCCCTGTTCCTGGTCCCTCCTTCCCCGGTGGTCCCTGCCCCTCCCCCCCCCCCCCCGCCCCCCCGTCCGGCCCCCTCTGGTGTGTCTCACGTCACCCCCCTCCCGTCGGTCGTCCCGGTCGACGAGTCTTCTGACTCTGGTAGTCCTCCGGCGCAGTCCTCGCCGTCTGTCCCTCCCCCGGTGTCTCCTCCTCCCCCGCCTCCGCAGCCGCCGTCGCCGCACCTGCTGCAGCCGTCGTCTCCACCGCCGCCGCCGTTGCAGCCGTCGCTGCAGCCGCCGCCGCCCTGTCGTCCCTGCCGCCGTTTGTGGACTCTGGGGGTGTCCCTTCTGGGGGTGCAGGTTTGGAGGGTTCGGGAGGTAGCCGTCGCGCCGCTTGTGGCCCTGGTGTTGGTGTTGTGTCGCCGCAGCAGCAGTCCCCGCCTGTGACCGCCCTCCGTCTGCTCGGCCTCCCGTCTCCTGACACTGCGCCTG